ATTAAATCAAGCAAGTTATCCTTAAATCCTAGTAACATTAATTGCATGTTGAGAGGGAAAACACTCGCAAAGTTTCATGAGACACTACGTGAATTGGTCACAAATGTCTTGTGTTGGGATTCTTCAGATCCTTCAACGAATTGATAGAATCAACTCACTGAACTAGAAAGAGGCATAGAGCTCACAAAAGCGGAAATTGCATTTAATTGAAATCAAAATTTTCTTACAGTGCATGAAGTAGAATGAAAATAGAAATAAACTTCTAACTTATCTCTCTTGTTTTGACAAACTTAGGGAGCATACAGCAGCCACAGACAGGAGGCTCAAACGGTTGATCCTCTTCTTGCTGTGCCAAGGGAGGAGATCCATGATCAATCCTTGATGTTGTCACCACTGGAAGGGAAAGGAGGGAAGAGCTGGCCCGCCTATGCTGTGTAGGCAGCGACAAGGGAGAAAGGGAGAGGAGGCTGGTTCCACGGTAGGAGAAAACCGTGCCAAACAGGGGAAGAGGAAGAGGTGATCATGAATGAGGGGGTAAGCTGACAGTGGGTCCTCTTTTGGGATCGTATGCCCTCTTGTAGGCATGCCCCTTATGCCCCTCTCAATTTACAAAAATAACAAGTCAGTTTTGCAGTTACCTTTTTATGTTCACTAATTCTTCAATAGTTCATGATGAAACTAGGAATAAATATATGCTCAAGCTCATGCATCATGATTATCCATTAATCCTCTTCCCTCCAATAACTATTAATCGTATATTTCTCCTCTCATTTATCTTGATGCTTCCATTCTAGAAGAAAATAGGAAAATGATACAATTCATAAATCATCATGTGAAAATGCATACGTAGAGTATTAAATGGTTACTCATCATATTTTTATATTCCTTAAGCTTTCAATAATAATCTCCTCATCCCTTTAATAGATGATTGCTCCAATTATCAGTAACTTGTCAAATCATGTATACTCAAGAGCGAAATAAATGATCTACACCATGATTTCTTTTTCTCTGATTTCTATCTATTTTTCGATCGATCTGCGGATCAAGATCGTTATTTACACCCAAAGTTCATAAATAATTCGACCCAGATGCCCAAAACTAAGCTGCGATCTGTGATTAAACATGACTGTGAGAAAAACGGCGAATGATGCTTCCCCATCCATAACCTCTAATGGCCCCACCGGTTCTCAGTCTCTCTCTTAATAATCGTCATCCCGTCCTCTGGGCAAGGCTAACCCTTGCGAGCTTCTCACCCTCTCTCTCTCTCCCTCTCTCTCTCTCAATAATCGTCATCCCGTCCTCTGGGCAAGGCTAACCCTTGCGAGCTTCTCACCCTCTCTCTCTCCCTCTCTCTCTCTCAATAATCGTCATCCCGTCCTCTGGGCAAGGCTAACCATTGCGAGCTTCTCACCCTCTCTCTCTCTCTCTCTCTGCACAATGAAATATTGGCAGCGTCTATCGCCAATATGCTAGGTAATGGGGAAATATTGGCAGCGTCTATCCCCAATATCGCCAATAGCAAGAACACCAAGAAAATGGGGAAATTATCACATTTCACAGGTATGGTGGGGGCGAAAGGGACAGTATGCTAGGACGTCTGCCGCCGGTGCAGAGAGTCCCAGAGGGAGGGAACAATGCCATACCATGGGTCAACGTGCTAGTGTGTGTTGTCACTTGGTCAATGTCTAACCGATGTTCAGAAACACACAAGGACTCAAGGGAATGTAGTCTTCACTTCTTCTGGAAAATATGCTGTGGGTAAAGATCTTCAAGTGAGGGGTGCCAAATTCTCCCCCATGGGAAAAATTCAACATTATGACCAGAGGGTGAAATTTGAGGGACTTGTGGATGAGGTCCTACCATTGCAAGAGCTTGTATTGCACGCCCTGTTTTCATCCTAGAACTCTTTTAGTAGATGTTTGACTTATGTGGTGAGTCTCCTTGGTGTGCTTGCCTCATTGTATTCACTGCCACTATGCGCATGACAAGTATGTGTGTATCAATGCTCTCTGTGTTTGTGCCTTCTTGAATTGGGCAGCCATTTCTTTTTTGTGCACTCACACCCAATGGCATGTTGTGCCCACTATTGGACCTGAATGGCTCATTGCAAATGAACCACATTGGAGCACTTCAAGTGACATTACATGCATATAGACAATGCTTACAAAAGCTCTCTATGGTCCTCAACTAGATTTTTCTTGCTCCAAGCTTGAAACTTTTGACCTCTATACTCCAGCTTGAGGGGGCTATAGAAATATTTATTTTATGTTTATAGGCCTCGCCTATTTTCTCTCTCTCCTCCCACTATATGCATTGGGCTTCTACCCTCTTTTATTTTATTTCTACCTACAAATATAAAAAGTATTAGAATTAAGATCAAATAAATAAAATTAAATATCTTAAAAATAGTTTACCTAAGTAAGGATTAGAACGCAATCAATCCAACTGCCCCTTTAATATAAGTGTGGCTTAAAATCTAGAATTCAGCAATTTTTTAGTGGTGGTCAATATTATTATGGGAAGATTTTGACTTGAAATATCTCTTTTTTTTCACAATGTCTAAAGGTTCATCATACCAAAATTTTCTATAACATTGTTACTCATCAACTCCTTATAGAAGATATATTGAAATGCAATATGAGAATTTCAGATTCATAATTCCATAAGAGTGTCTATTCTCAAATTTAAAATAGAATTAATCTCCTCTATTATATAGTTTACATAATCATAATAGAACCTTTCTCCTTAGTTGAAATTATTGTTCTCTTTATTTAGCACTTCTTAATCTGCCCATTTTTCTTTCATTGTTAACATTTGTTGCTTGGTTAACTTACTGACTTTTCCTTTCAATTTGTTTCTGATACGTGCTGGTTAGGTCATGTGTTCTTATTTTATTTTCAAAATTTAAGGTATGATAAGGTTTTTCCATCTGACTCTCTCGTACAAACATTTGCCTTAGAATCAGTTCATAGGCCTCTTCAAATTTCAATTTTCTTGATTCTAACAAACTATTGACAGCAGTTATAGTTTCTCTCGAATGAGGAAGATAATAAGATTGAAGTCCTAAGCTAATTATCAAATATAATATCTACAAAGCTCAATTGACTAGTTAACAAAATAATCTTATTGATGTGATTGTAAATATAGCCACATTCTATCATCGCCAAATTTAAAACATGTCACATCAAATATAACTTATTTGATCCTGATGGCTTCTCATACATATTTGAGAGAGAGAGAGAGAGAGAGTCATAAAGTCCCTTGAGGTCAGTGCGACACCCCTTAAATTGAGGATTGAGATTTTAAGTTCAGAATCGTCATGCTGCTACAATGAGGCTCCATGGTCACGAGGGTGGATGATTGCGTCCGCACGACTTGGCATGGTGCCGTTTGAAACACGTGTCAGAGGCTTGTATTATCAAGGTGTGGCATGGTGCTGACAGTAATGTACGAAGTATCCATCACCGTGGCGTGGCATGGCATCAGGATGGGTTCGCCATATTATATGCATGAACTCATGTAGGAGGCATGGACTGGCAGTAGACTACATGGTGCGATGCAGTTTGCGGAAGCACTCTGTGGACCGGAAGGCGCCAGAGGGTCGTGCGATGTTGACAACCACTGCAAATGAGGATGTGACCACTCACCATGTGGGGGTAGTTATGGTGGCAGTTACTCCCAGAGTTGTTCTCGGTAGTTATTGGAACAGTTGTGAGCACTTTGTAAGGGTGCTCCCATATATATCGACATGACTTAGTTTAAGAAGGGGAGGTACTCCCTGTTGTGTATTGTCCTAAATGAGTGAGTAATACACATCCCTTGAGTCTTCGAGCACTTCCACACAGTAGTGAGGCTGCCAATGTCAACTGAGCAATGGCTAAGGCTAGAATGGGAGAGATAAAGTAGTTAGGCTTAGATGAATGTCGCGATAGTTACCTTGATCAAGTAAATGAGAAAGATGTGAAGAGAGAATTAAGAATTTCCTTCAAGTACCTTCAAGTACCCCCGGTGGTTCATTGAACAACTCTCCTTCAAGTACCTTCGAAGTGGAAGAGTTCTGCTACTTATCATTATTACTATTATATCCCTTTAAATGTACCTTTGGTAACACCTAAATTCCTCACACACCAGGAGACCCAGCAAGATGTGGCTGGCGTTTCTTAGAGATGAAAAATTGAAAAAACATGATTGAAAAGACGAGGGGATATTTATCGCAATGCCATAAGTATGCCACCAAGATCATGGAGTAGTTTAAATATTGATTAAAATAAATGGTTCCAACAGGAATTGGGAGCACGAAAGCAATGATGAATCCTGACTGACACTTCCTTGCAGCCGTACCAATAAATCAGGATGGTGTACGAGCTTTCAACGTGGGAAAAAGAGGCCAGATGACTAAGAAAATTTCATTTGTTGCCAACAATGCAGACCAAGGCATTACCTCAATAAGCATCAGCTTAAATGGCGAAGCTTTAGAGGCTAAACCTCTGAGATCATAGACTTCCCTGTTATCAAACAAGACCATGGTGCTACTTTACGCACTGTGACGTCAGTCCAAAAGCCTGAATTGACTGTCCAAGAAAACGTCTTCCGTTTTTCTACGTTACATCCTTATGTATGATTACTCCGTCGGTTTTTGAAAAACATGTCCATTCTTGTCTATTTCCCAAGGCACGAAAATGGAAAGTCGATTGACCTTTAATTTCTATATTAATCATGAATCAAAAACCTTAGGCAACCGAACGGATTGTGCTCAGGATCAGGCGGCGAAATGATCTCAACTTTAAATGAGTCTTATTCAAGAGATTACGTGAGTCATCCCCGGGAAAGGAACCGGTTTCTTATGTGAGACTAGAGGACTCCCCGGAAGGTACTTCACGGCAGAAAATCGCACGCGGGCACCAGATAAAGTGGGCTAGAAGGCTCCGTAGGTGGAGTGAGTTCGTCCGTCTGGCTGTAGATGCTAGCTGGAGTCTGAGAGACGCTATTGCACGTAGTGCTTATCCCATGTCTTCATTACTGGACATCCCATCATTGGCCTGACTACTGAAATTGTGAGAAGAGATGCCTTTCTTGTCGTAATGTCTTGCCACTGACACCAATCTGCGCCAGAAGGTGCGAACTGAGCTGGAGTTCCGCTGCCGGTGCTGATACATGAAGGAAAACATGAAGCAGAGAAGCGATGCTGCTGTGGCAAGGCCAGTAATGAGGAAAAGGCCCCAAAAACTCGATAGGTTGAGGCTGTCGGAGGTGAGCCTGCTGTTAGGCCTAGAGCAGCTGCCCTGGTCTCGGAACCACCTTCCCTCAATCTCCCTGATCTTCCCGGTCCACATTATGTTCAAGATCCCCTTCGAGAGATCGGAAACAAGAGGAGATCCTTTGGGAAATACCTGCACGGTGGTCAGTTGAATTCGTTCAACAGGGCATTAGACAATCCAGATGGAGAAGTAAAACCAGCGAGAGACTCACGAAGCCGAATCCGCCGACCCTGTGTATTCGGCCGGCCATGGAATAATTACCACAGTAATCCTCGAGGAAGACTTTGAGGTACGGTATCTCGTCGATCACAGCGGCAACACCTCCATTTTTGCTGCCCTTCGCAAGGCCCGCTTGGTATTCCTCGGGCGACCCATAGGGTCTTAGTTTCTCCTCTTCGAATCCCATATCCTTCAGCATTTCCTTGGTAAACGAGTGGTTCTGGTATCCAACATACTCACCTCTATTGATGAGTTCCTCGATCTCTGTGACAGTCGGTTCGAGATGCTTAACAGCGAGCATCGAGGTCAAGCTGGCGACATAATTTGATTGTAATATGAACACAACAAACAGCCAGATGATGACCACGACCCTTGACAGGTTGGTCAACATCTTCTCTTCTGCAGCCAAATATAAATTCTTTCGTTAGAAAAAAGTTTTCATGGTATTCAGGACAAGACCAGCGAAGAGAACGAAAATTGTGTGTGTGTCGTGTGTGCGTGTGTGTGTGTGCGTGTGTGTGTGTGCATGTGTGTGTGTGTGTGTGTGTGTGTGTGTGAGAGAGAGAGAGAGAGAGAGAGAGAGAGAGAGAGCTAATGAAGTTCTGTCTTTATTAGATGGAAGATTCCACTCCACTCGCACTTGTGCCCACCCATATTATACTTTATCCGAAGCCAATTGGCGAACTGATAAGCTACGAAATACCAGTCAAACAGGGACCGAGTGGTGGCCATCGAATTGACTGTCCAGGGCCACAAATCCAGCTCATGCCTCAGCGCTGGAAACTAAAGTTGCCAATTTTTTTGACGTGATCAATCATTACCAATGAAAGACATGGGATCCACGACTTCGATGCGAAAAAAGATGGAATCGAAGAAGAGTTACTGAACTGTGTGAGAAGACCAGTGTGGAGAAGATGAAGTAGAGCACGGTCCCAAACTGGTGCCCCGGCGTCCCCCTGAAGTCCCCGTTGACTCGGTGTTCGAGGATCCACACGATGGCGCCAGTGAAAAAGAAGAAGGCCCCGATGACGCGCCAAAGCTCCGGCGTAAGAGGCTTCAAGAAGATCCAAGCATTGTTTTCCCTGTGATCCCGGAGCGGCACCACCATGGATACTCCAGACTGAAGATAAGGCTGTGTGAAGTCTACTTTTCTTGATCGATTAAAGGTGATCGTCACGTCCCCCACTAGGGCGTCATACTTCTGTTGGCCACATTATGTTGAAGATCACCGTCAGTTCCTGATGAATTTTCAGGGAGAAGAGACGGAAACTGACCTGATCGAATATCATCTGGACGAGATCATTGTATTCTGCGACGTTGCCGCTGAGTTTTACTGTGGTGTACTCGATTGGTAGAGCATAGGGCAACTCCATCACGGCGGCCTCGAACATCTCAAAGACGTACCCGCTAATAACGGTCTTGTCGGTGTCGGGGTTGACATGGACGCTCAGAAGTGGGTAGAATCCCGGGTTCTCTGGATCTGGGACCAGCACCCTCAGCTTCTTCCCGGTCATTGGGTTCACCCATCCCTTGGGAATCACCCTAGTATTCCCAGGCCAGATGGCGGGAGACAGGTCTGCCTTGGTGTCCGAGGGCCGTTTCTTCGAGGTGCTCATCGTTCGGTTGATGCCATTCTCCGGCGTCCAGAACCCTAAGGTGCTCTCTTGCTGTCGGTGCAGGTTAACTATCTCGAGGGCTGGCGCATACAGCTGGCCATTGCTAAGGTTGAATTTCCCGCTCAGTCCGGTCAACTCCATGCCACGGATTGTACGGAGAAGCATTGGACCTGTCTTCGATACCCCAAGCGCTTGCAGATCGTATGAAGGTTCTCCCGTGTCCAACTTGACGTAGCCTGGGTCGGCTGCGCCGACATTCTCAGCGGCCATGGCCATTAACCAGACAGTATCGTACGCCCACAGCCCCAAGACACTCGGCTCCGAGATCCTAGACTTGGGATTCTGCTTCTGGAACTCCCCAAGCAATCTCCTTTTGAACTTCTCGAGCTTGTCCGTGCTGTTGATGTAGGGTTTTACACCGATGAGAGTGCCAGTGGAGTGGGGACGAACAGATGGATCCATGATGCCCAAAAGGCTGGTCGACCCTTCGGACAAGATCCACGCGAACCCCTTGCTCATCATTCCCGCCTGGTTGACCTTCGCGAAAAACCGAGAACACAGAGCCGGGGACATGTGAACAAGGAATACCCTGCTCTCCATGTTCATCAGCTTGTACAGTTCCGTCAAGATGAGGTCACCAGAGGCCGACGGCGGGAGTACGCACCTGTAAGGGATGCGAGCTCCGACGGCTTTAATGGCATCAACAAGATAAGGCACCACCCCGGTGCCGTACTCTGACTGCTCGTGTATCAGAACCACCTGTTTCCACCCGTAGAACTGCACGAGGATTGCCACAGACTGCGCCTGGAATGAGTCGTTCAGGGCAGCACGGACGAAGTAGGGGGTCTTCACAGGCGATAGAGATGGACTCGTCGCCGAGAAGGAAACGATTGGGACCCTGACCCTGTTTCCTAGGTCAACGATGAACCCTGCCTCGTCGGAAGTCTGTGGACCGATGATCGCATGCACTCTTTCAAACTTCAGCAGATCGACGGCTGGATCCGAGCTCATACAGAAAATTAAATGAAGGGGAGATGGTTACATAATTGTGGAAAATACTGCAAATCCGGTCCTGAATTGTACGGAAACACTTTCACGCAGAAATTTACATGACGAATCTGACCAGCAGCTAGGGGGGTCATAGAAACAAGGTCACCATTCCGACTTATCATCGAAAGCACCAACGGAAAATATATTAAGTATAGTATTCCTGAGTTTTTATGGGCTCCAACATAACTAGAGAACAACTATAATTAAGAACAATCGATAAAAAATTATAACAGATTGAACGAGTGGATGATTAATCATCAAGTTTGAGAGAGACAGTACCCACAGAGGCGGCTGTAACGGTGTCCCGTCGCGAATCTCTGAAATGGAGGTCCAGCCTCGTGGCATAGCTCGGGTGCTCCGCGTAGAAGTCGGAGACGGCTATCTGCATGCAGAGGCGCGTTATGTTCCCCACCGGGGATCCGAGATCCACGATAACGCCGACCTTGAACGGTGACGACGAAGGACCGTCACGGCCCACCTCCCTGTCCATCCGCGGCGTAGCTTGGGAAGAATAGAAGGAAAACAGCAAGAGAAAGAAGAAGAGGAATGTTTCGCTTCCTAGGGCTTTCATGTCTTCTCATGGAGGCTAGAGAGAGAGAGAGAGAGAGAGAGATTGAGAGACGCGCAAGGCAATGTTGGTAGAAGAACGGAGTCCATGAGGAGGCAGATAAAGGTCAAGTGTTCCCACGGTTCCTACGGTCCGAAATATCGCCAGATTTTCAACCCTTCGATGAGACTTCGATGCGAGTCTTCGAAAACGAGAGGAGAACGGGACGAAGAGCACTTGTAACTACTTGTGCAAAATGGTGACCCGAGGTCTTCACGGCTGGCAGTCAGGAGCAGCTCCCACGAAGATGCAGTCAAGGTTAACCAGATTCCATGGCGGAGGCTGACGTGAAGACAAAGTCTTTTGAGTTCGATCTGTACTACTGGGGTCCATCTTTGAAAACCGGGCAGGAGGCTACATAAACCTACTGGAATTCTTATATAAACCCAATAAGCCAGCCTCCAACATAGCTTTTTGAAGGGTTAGAGTCAGGAGGATCACCTACAATCGACTCATGCTTCAGGTTAGAGCGTCTCCTCGGTCCTTGAGTTTTCAGCACGAGAACAGGGACAAGTACGGGATGACTTAAGGTTGGGTTGGATGAAGTCTGATGAGATAGCTTCTCAACACGCGATTCTACTGACTGGTACACTAGCATCTTATGATAAGGGACGAGACTGGGACCACTCTCTTCACGATGGGCGGACCAAGTCAACCTGTGAACCTAACATTTTTTGACAAGAGTATATTGGAAATTCCCCTCCCAGCCCACCGCCCTTGCCATCACCCCCTCTCTCCTTGTCTCGATGCCCAAAAAAATCTATACAAGCGATAGATAAGAGAATACTAAGGATGCGAGCCAGACAATTTCTCAATTCTGAAAGCCGTCGTTTTCCCTTATCTTCTCGGCCGCTTTTATCTTTTCTTTAGTTCGTAATCCCCAGGGTACGTTAATACACAACAGCGTCACAGATCTCGCTACTATCTCTGCCTCGGCTTCTAACGGTGTTCATGGACAATCGTAGGTCGTTGATGACCTGATCAAACTCCGATTCGATCCGCCTCGTGGCTGGTAGCCATCTACCTCGTCCCGATCGTGAGGAGAGGTTCACCATGATGGGAGGTGAGATCCTTTCAGTCAACCATTCGTTATGTGTTTGTCCCCAAACTATATATTAGATCCACTAGACGAGAAACCCAATTCCGCACTGCTTATGAATCGTCCTCGGACGTATCCACCGACAGGAATCGTAGAATTTCAGCTTTTGGGGAAATCTACCGAAGCTTGGCTGATAGATAGATTCCTTTCTTGCTGCTACTGGAGAGAAAGAAAATCAATCAAATGGTTATTTCTTCACCGGCGCCGACATTTCCTTTCGGGGTACGAGTCGTACTTCTATTCGTTGAAAAAATCTTTCCATTCGTCCGCGCAGGATACAATGTTCTTGCGTTATAAGTGAGAATGCCTTCTGCGGAGATTTTAATTTATTTAATTTTTTATTTTGGATCTGTGAAAATGCACGTCATTTTCCGAAAACTGACCACAATTCCTTGCGTGGTCTGCATCGAAAATCATTGGATTTCTTTCTGTGTCTACAACATACCTCTCCCAGCTATCTACACAGTAGATTTCTCTACCTAACGCAAACACGCCACTAAGAAGCTCTAACCCCCCTTTCTCAGGTTGCTACTGCAGAGATTCTGAAAAGACAGGAGAAAAAGTACGAAATCACTTGTTTCGACGGCATAATCTAATCAAATTGAATAGAACATCGAAGTCATGATCCTTCACATAAATTTCAGCTACGGTTAACGAATGCCATGCAAGCAAGGCAAAGGTAGCTTGCTGTAGATTTGTGCATTGCTCTATACATATAGTTCGTGAATGATAAACCTCAAGAGATGTCCGCCGACCGGCGGGATCGTACTTACTCCAGAACAAAAGCTTAATGTGTGTTGTTTTGCTTGAGAAAGAGCTTAACATTAACAGAAACGGACTTATCAATTGGTATAGATGCATAAGGTGTTATTGATTCCACAGTGTCGGTAAACTTATTGAGAAAGTCAACACTTAATGTCTTCATGTCTCGATGTCTGGTCCGCGTAAATCATGAAGTCGCTCCTCTCATTTAGGTTTCAGGAAGGCTACGAGCTTGTCAACCTCAAGGTCATGTCTTCCTGAGTCAACGTAATTCCATGCGTGTCGTTGTTCAACGACTTCAACATTTATCTCGGTGCAGGAAGAGAGTGCCAGAAACAGGCCACTGGGTGTATCCCGGCCAAACGAAAGAAAGCCGGATTTGGCCTCTATAATACACCCGTAATATCTCTCCGTCGTCGTTTAGGTACTGATTCGGCTTTTCTTTGGCAGATGCGCACCATTTCAAAAAAAACGTCTCTCTCTCTCTCTCTCTACCCGCCCGCAATCAGTCTCTCTATTCCTCCCTCTCATTACACGATCCTTTAATCCCTTTCATCTTTTCCTCGAAGGCGATTTTCGCCGAGACTACTTTCGGCGAGCATAAGCCTCCCTTGCGCGATCCAGCCCCCAACGACGGACCCGCATGACAACGGACGGCCACAGCAACGATGAGTTTAGGGGAGCTGGCGGGGGGATACCCATAAATAAAGTGGGGCAGAAACACCAACAGGCGGGGAGAAGGTTGGCCACCGAAAGCCTGGTTAGCCACTGAAAGCCTGGAGGCTTTCAGTGGCTAACCTGAACAGCTTCCGACTCGGCAGCGTCTCTATTCCCTGCCATCTTCTTCGTCCAATCGTCCATCTCCTTCTCGGCGACGCCTACCTTCTCCCTCCCGGAACAGTCTCCGAAATAAGAGGCTCTACAAGAAACTGGGATGGCGAGGAAGCTGGGCTTTTCATTCCACGCCATGATCTCGACGATCCTCTGCTTCGGTGGGGTCCATGTGGCCTTGGCGGCGTCCCCATTTTCACCCTGGCCCTCCCCGCTCTCGGTGTGGCCGCCGCTGCCGCCGCTGTTCTCCTGCTCCACGTAACCGGAGAGTTTCCAGTAGGAGCAGGCCAGGAGGAGAGTGAACGCTATCAGCCCCAGCATGGCCGCCAGGATCCCAAACAGATACGGCACGGGAGGGCGCCACGTCAAGTGCTGTTGCGCCGTATGCGAATGCTGGGCCACAATCGCCGCCGCCGATCCGAGGAGGGTGACGTTCCCCATCCCTAGTATCTCAGACACCGAGAGAGAGAGAGAGAGAGAGAGAAGGCCAAGAGGATCATAGAAGAGCAGGATAGGGGTATTTTATACGGAACGCCACCGGACATGAAAACCAAACTTAGATCTTTATTTTCCGTTCGCTTTTGTTCGAATTAAATAACCGAGATTACTGAGGTTATCTGGTCAAGTGGAGTGGTTAGACATGGTCGAAGCGGCCTGCTCCTCCCAATCGTTCGGGCCCGGGATCTACATATGCACTTGTCAGCGAGAAAGAGAGGAGAGAGAGAGAGAGGGGGAGAGAGAGAGAGCGAGGGAAGGAGATATATATAAAGGGGGGGAGAGAGACGGGGAGAGAGGATAAGAGAGAGAGAGAGAAAGAGAGAGAGAGTTCTAACCATCGAAAGGTTTTTATAATGGTCATTTGGGTAGGTGAGTTACGTCTTACGTTCGCTTCCCGGTGGGCGGGTTGCCGAAGAGTGAATGCCTCCTCCGCCGTCGCGTTCCCCCAACCCGCGACGCCATTAACAGTGGGTCGCGCTAGTGGTGCCGCCTCGCCAGGGTTGCACCGACGGACCGCTAGTGGTACCAAGACGGCACCCCACGGAACTGCTACAACCTAGTGGGCGCGGCGCTGAGAAGAAATATCGTCCTCTCTCTCTCTCTCCATCACTCCTTCAGTGTCGTCTTCTCTTTCTCTCTCTCTCTCATTCCGTTCTCTTTTTCGTTTCTCCTCTTCGTTCTCTTTCCCTGTCTCCTCCATCCTTTTCTCTCTCCCTCTTCCTTCCCTCCTCCGTCTCCTTCAATTCTTCTGTCTCCTACTCTCTATCGTCTCTCTCTCTCTCTCTCTCTCTCTCTCTCTCTCTCTCTCTTCCTTCTCGCTCTTTTTCCTTCTTTCTTGTTGTCAGAAAATTTAAATGACGGCCGAAGATGAGAGAGAGAGAGGGAGTCACCCATTCTGGTCGGAATGAATTATCCCACCGTTCTTCCTCCTTTCCATCATTCTCTTTTCCAGTGCACTTTTCCGGTTTTCCAATCTCTCTCCGCGTCGTCTTGCTCGGGAAAATCCAAGTGATCGAATCGAATGACCGTCGGCTTTAGTATCGGACCTAAAATGGACCGAAGAGGCCCGACGACTCTGTATCTGGGCATACAATAAAACATGTCGGAGATGTTTAAGGTATTATTTATTAAATAACAATAAAACATATCTATTATCTGGGCATACAACAGCTTTTATTCTGGGCCCAAAACCCAATGTGTTGTACTTAGTCTGGTGCCTCGAATAGATATTATATATTACTAGAAATTAGATTCGTGGAAATAATTAACAATCGTTTCTTTCATAATTAACTTCATTGTCAACACTTCCATCTCTCTATTTGTGTACACTTCCACGCCAATTGATTGTTACATTAAACAGTCACCAAGCTCATATGTGTGAACAAGTTCTCAAGATTAAAATGGGGATCAAAGAAAAGATAAAAATGGAGAAAATACAGCGAATGATCAGAAATAAGCTGAAACAGATGCATCAGCTTCATCTCTTTTAGAATGGCAGACCTGAGTTTTACAGATTCAAGAAGATAACAGGATTCCCTAAGGAGTTGTGGTTTTCATTCTGGGTATGTCGCCAGTAGATGAAATTTAATCCAGCTGCACATATTTGAGTAGACACAAAGAAGAATATAAATTTTCATTCTGAAATGATCCCCAAAAGTAATGTTTCTCCGGAATACAAATTGTCCTTTTCTTCTCGTGATTTGAGGCGTCTTCTAAAGAACATTATCGCAAAACAAAGGCGTTCACAGTGATCCACAGCCGTATGATGCGCTATTATCAAAGTGGAAACCAATCGTAAAATCTGGAAATAGTGAAAAATTCCCATTGCTCATCATCCTTCTTTCCGTGTATTCATTCAAAGTTGTCACCAAGATGAAAATGACGTTAACAGTACATTATTAGACAGCAAGAGGTATCAATTATATATAACAAAAACACAATCTGTGAATAATAATTTGGTACACGATTTTCATCTGTCTGTGTCATTGGTACTGGATTTCTCACTTCTTCCAAATGGAAAACTCCTTTCCCCGAAGGTGATTGACATTCTTGCGGCGCATATTGATTGAGAGTGATTTATATATAACAGAAGATCAATAAAGACATTTGATGAGACTGGAATGTTTGAGCAATATACTTGTCCATGATCATGTCCTTCAGCTTAACATACTTGGGCACAGAATATGAGAGAGAGAGATAGAGATATAGATACCTGGATAGATAGACAGAGAGCACCATTTCCTAAGAGAAGTCAAGATCATGGGCCGATTCTGAAGGCTTCTACTAGATAATGTTACTTACGCGGGTGACACTATGTTCACATCGGTATTACTTATAGTTTACTAGCAAATATTAAAAACCATGAACCCAAAGTAGAATAGTTTAGCGCCATAATAATCCGAAACGGATAATCTGACCCAAAGAAACCAAAGCAACAGGTTCAAATACACGTTTGCGCAAAGAGTGCCGCTGTATAGTCCCAAATCCTCGACAGAGACGCATTATTCTGCAGAAGGAAGAGGATTAGCCCTAGTCAGTGGCGTTAATGAACCAGTTTATGTTCCTCCGCCCCCACATGAACAGCCCGTCTATATTAAACTCTGCATAGTGGCCACCATTCAATAGCAAGGGGAGAAAGGAGGGGCTTGTGAAGACAACTCGGCCATAGGTTGGCATCGGGCCCTCCCACTGCCCAAGCTTGGGGTCCAAGTCAAGATCCACCCTCTCCACACTGACCCCCCACCTCCTGCAGATCACAATGAGACACGAAAACGTTCAACGGTTAAAATACAAGATCAAGGGTATAACAAAAAGACGTAGTCTCCTTCAAGATTATCCAGCTGAGGATTAGGGTTGCAGTACCCAACGAAGTAGTTTATAATTATTTCGGGTGTAACATTGCTTCCCGGGTGAAAGGTGACCAGCATCGAGCGATAGTCCTCATGTGTCGGCTCCATCATGTGAATGTAAGGAGCCTGTAAGGCCTCTGCCAAGCTCGGCTCCAGCTGACGCCCTGCATCGCTCTCTCTCGACGCCTTGACGAGCTCATCGTTAAAGATGATCCTACCCACGCTGTCAAGGATAGCTACGATGCTCCTTATCCCAAGATCACGATTGGCGTAAAAGAACTGGAGAGTGATGGGATCCCTTGCGCCGTACGCCGTTAGGAAGATGGCGGTTGCATTTTGCGAGGTTTTTGGGTTCCCTTGATGAAGGGAGTCTAGGATCGCCTCCGCCTCGAGTAATAGACGTTGGAAGACGTCGGCGGGGGCGTTCTTCGCTCGTCGGACCATGTTGGGGAACCCCATCGATTCGAGCCACATCCACAGGGCAACGACTTTCCTGGCCTCGACAGACTCCCTGTTCATGAGCTTCACCCTCTCATAAACCTGGCCCTCAATCCAATGGAGGCGTAGAAGGTCCTGGGTGATTGGTAAGGCCATCAGTGGAGGAGGAAGAGATCGTCGAGAAGGAATAGGATCGGCTGGCTCTTGTTAGGGTTTTGATGCGGTGCGGCAGGTGTCTATGAGAGGTTTTCATTTATACCGTGGAGATGGCACCATTTGGTGACGGAAACGGCAGAATGGGCGTCGTTCCTAATGGGGAAAGAACTTTTATGTGGCGACAGTTGTAAACTCCCGAAACCCTTTTCTCTTTTTCCCTCTCCCTCTCTCTCTCTCCCCCCTCTCCCTCTCTGTCTCCCCCCTCTCCCTCTCTCTCTCCTCCCTCTCCCTCTCTCTCTCCCCCCTCCCTCTCTGTCTCTCTCTCTGTCTCTCTCTCTCTGTCTCTCTCTCTCTCTCTCTCTCTCACACACACACACACACGCACACACACACACACACACATGCACACACCACAACGCACACAAACAGTAAGTCACCTTCTCTCTCCGTGGTTGAATCCCCATGTGGCTTTGTATTAGAGTTTTCATGGGATGCATGGGAGTGACGGACGTAGCACGAGAGCCGACGTCCGTTACGGTCGTCAATCTATTGAAAGAATCCCCGTTCTGGACAGAAGGGACAGATCGAAGCCTGCCATTGACTGACAACTATGGTTTGACGGTGCACATTTAAATGACCCACGATGAACCCAACCTTCGGACTGTCTATCATTTTTACCGACGCCCGCACCGTTTAAAAAGTATCCTTCGACAGTGGTAAACCGACACAGTTGAAAAAGACAGGAATGAATCAAAGGCCAAAGATGTGGTGCCGCATCGTATGGTTCTTGATAGAAGCGACTGTTGAATGGTAGCTTGGTTTACGCCGACGCTGAGAAGACGAGGCCTGGCCTCTTGAAGACGTTTGAACAAAAAGTAGAAATGCTGAAAATACGGTTCAGAGACCGACTCAACTGATGATGATTTCAATCGCCGTGTTGGTCCTGAAGAGAATTTGGGTTGAAGGGCACCACAGAAGCAATGAATGGAACTCGGTCAAAGGTTATCAGGTTCTCGTTCTGGATTCACTCTTAGTCATGAAATACTTAACCACTAAAATTCACGTAGTTTGAAATTTGAAAGAAAAATGGCTTTAGTTAACAAAACCCATGTTCTTCATGTTTACATAGATCTAGACCGTATTACATAGAGTGCACGTTTTTCAATTACATGTTTCTCATTTGTAGGAAAAAATGTATCATATGATTTTTTTCTCTGAAAACAGATACCTCTAATGATTTTTATATTTCATAGTCAGTACCGGTGAAAGATTTTGAAGATCGATAAGAGTACTTACCAAAAAGCATTGAAAATGATATATGTGACTTTCAGACGACTCACTGGATCCCCTTCTGTTTTCCACAAAGGATGGTTAGGTAACTTTCAGACGACTCACTGGACCATTGAATTCACATGACTCCGTGGCGATACCCTAATCTTTAGTTCAATATAGCGTCTAAAGGATTACCTTGTACCCATGATATGAGCCACAACCTCCACAGGTGCATCTAAATAGTTTTTGGATGCTAGTACAAAGATAAAGCCCTGGTTTGTAAAAGATAAAGGCACTAGGCATTTTTAGCTTCATTATAACCATTGTATTCAACTGTTCACCTATCTGATTCCTTGACATCAAGGTCACTTAAACTTCAATAGGATTGAGGTCTGCAGGGCAAACAGTTGCTGAAGTTATCTTTCCTTTCTCCAGCGATGCAAAACCATGCATAACTAAGAAAGCCAAGTGTCCAACAGTCTGTGTATTTCATAACTTCTTCCATGTTTCAACATGGCTCACATGAAGCTCTTCAAATAACATTGAGCTACAGATTAGTAAGATATATAAGATTATATATTTATATATTCTAGTAAATGAGTTTAAAATTCCTTCTTTTTCTGTAAATTGATAATTTTATTAAATAATTTTACCAATGGAAATTATTAGAATAATTTTTTCTAATAATATTCTGTGGTTATAAGTTGTTGTTATGTTTACTTTAAAAAACACAGTTAAGGTATTTAAAACCAACCAAGCGTTAGTTCCCTTGTCTTATCATTAATTAAAACCATGCAACCTATCCAAAATATATATTTCTCTTTCCAAACACTCTTGGAGTTGCTTCAATTTGAACCCACTAAGTGTCCAAACCATTGTTTCAATCAAGCTTCCTAGTGAAAGTCATGTACATATAAAGCCAAATGTATTTTTCATGTCTTTGTTTACTCTTGAGAAGTAAAAAAAATAAAGGATTAGTTTTAGTTCCTTTTTTTTAGTCAGGACGTTAGTAATGTCTAGGTAATAATATTAAATCTGGTATTATTTGAGAACATTTTATACATTGATACACCAACATCCTTATGTCCCTACCTTGGAACAGTGTTTAGTGTAGCTCTCGCATTAATACCCCATAATTCAATTGATAGCTTGACTTGGTTGGGAGATTATCTCATTACATTGGTGAAACTCATGTGCTGTTTTGATTCTTCATGGAAATTCAACTTACTTTTGATGCTAATGAAGTTAAAATTTTAATTTTGTTGCCTAATGGTGTACATGGTTTACTGAGCTTAGCAGATTACACAAATAATGCTGATCAACATCAGCTCATTTCTTATTGGATAAGATAATTTTGAAAGAATGCCCCATTATTTAGCCAACTTGTCCTAAACCATGGTGTAATCTCTTGACCCTAAAAATATTTCTTAATGTGCCTATGAGAAACCAAGAAGAATGTTAAGTCTGAATGATGGCAATCTAATTAGCCACCACAGCTTGTGCTGGCCATGTTGGGAGTAATTTAATATAAGCAAATATATATTCTATGGAAAAACTTAACTATAACTAATATATGTAAGGCAAAAAAAGAAACCGTTGTCACCCCATCACTAGAGAGTTTTCTAATAATTAAATCAAGAAAAACTTGAAGAGTTTTGGAATCTCAAATAAGTTTGAAAGTTTCTAAAGTGTGAAATGAAAAAAATGGTCGTTCAATATTGTTAAATCCCATAGCAGAAAGGAGACAAAAATTTAGTAAATGAGCATATGACAATACATTAATATGTCAATATATCAATAAATGTAGAATTATATTGCAAAATACTATATATTAACACCAATATGTTTATAAGTGAGGAGTTAACAATATCAACATTAATACTTTAATAAATTGAGCTAAGTTGTGGAATTTAAGAATGAAATTTAAGAAATACATAGACTACTCAGTATATGACACAAGTAAGACAACAAGAAATCAAACATTAAATAATATGCTTCTATGTTAAACTTCTATGAATAACACTTCAAGGTAATGAGCCTAAAAGAAGAACTTGCAACTCTAAGTCAATATACTATTATGAGGAATGTTTATAATCCACAATTATATCATTGAAGCTTATCAATAGCAAAAACTAGAGCCTATACTTGGCATTTTTTAAAACATTAATCTAGAAAGGTAGCCTAATACTAGATAATCAGTGTTTGGCTGCTTAGAGTGATGAATCTATAAATTTTGCTTCATGTTAAGTACAAAGCTTTATAGTAGTTTGGTCTTTCCTAGGCCTACGTTCACTTTCTAAAGATTCTACTCTTAGTTTTCACTCCTTTCTATATTTTATAGAAATATAACTGCATTTTAGGGGATTAAAATCAATTATACAACATATTTCATGGATCTATCTCTCAATGCTGAGACTAATGCACTAGTTTATTGTTGGTTCTCTAATGAGATGTAATGTACATTTCAGATAATGAGTGAATTGATTTCTTATCTTGTTTTAGCATTCTAGAGTGATTTCATATAATTTATGCAATTTCAGATTTAATGAAGAAGGTTGACATAAACTTCCTTTTTTGTCAAAAAAGTGAGTCAAGACACTAATGTTTGGATACTTTGACAAATTGTTTTATTTGTTTTAGCAGCTTTGATTACCCTGAAATATTTTGATAATGACCAATTAACATGTATATAATCATATAATAAAAAAATAACATTTGATGAAAAATACCATGTACCATATGGATACTCATATGAAGAGTAACAATCATTATGATATTTAATAAAATATACATTTAAAATTTTCAGAAGTTAATATGAATTTAATGATCATGATATAATATTTCACGTGAGACTTAGAAATCTGCTCAAAATCCTTATTTCGTTTAGTGCATATATTTCAAATAAAATGAAAATTTATGCACATATTAGAAAGAATGATTAGAGTACTAGAAATGCTTATATATGTAGCTATGTGCTGGCATAAACATGGAATGACATCACATACTGAACACTTGACAACAAAGATATACAATATAATTAAAAGAAAATTGTTCTTCTCTTTTGGAATACATCATTATTAACATATAAAGGGATATGCCTCAAAGATAAGAATGTCAAATAATGATTGGAGCTCTAGAAGATATCTCATGTCTGATATTTCTATTAGCTCTTCCAACAAAGTTAGCAAGAAAATATTGAGATAATGGAAAATAGAGAAAGACCAATTCAATGTGTCGATGAATGGGTGTCTTTCTGGAACATTTGAATGACCCTTTGAGCAAGAATTTGAATGGCAGTTTAAAAGTTTAATTCAGCATTGTGAAGACAGAATTTAGAATCAAGAATCTGAGTAAAAAAGCATCATGTCTCAAGGAGAAATCAAAGAGTCTTCAACACTAAAAGAGCTTTGATATGAGAGAAGGATCAAGATTCAATGAAGATCATCAAACTTAATCAAATTCTAACAGAACATCACCTTTGATCTATTACAAATAAGTCACTTGGAAGGTATTTTTCCTTGACCATGCAAGACTTATCACTTAAAAGAGTTCATGGCTATAATAAATTGTTCATTAGTTTACATCCAAAAGTCTAATTAGTGTTTTGTGGAAAACTCAATAGGAGTGATCCTTATAATCAGTGCTGGTGAAGTACAAATAGTTTTTAAAAACTACAAGCAAGGTACCACATTTCCTAAGCATTCATTTTTAGTTTTTGAACTGTACCAATAATCCAACAAAGAACACTAATATTTTATATTAGTTTTGTCTCCTTGGCCTACCTCATTTACTTGATAGATTTCACTGGTCTATTTTCCCATAATATATACTATGACACTAGTTTTTTCCTACCCTTGCTACAAGTAATCTTCTAGATCATCTTCACTTAGAAAACGAAATTCTATAATGATTTTCTGATGTTGAATTTGCAACTTTCTTGTTAATTTGAGCATATAAAAAAGTTTATAATTCTATTATTTTGGTCTATATGTGTAGTGTAATAGAGAATCAGAAACCTTTTGGCCAACCATGTATCAACTAATAACATTTCATTCAGATCAACTCAATTTCAAGTCAATTATACTATGTTTTGAGGTTCTTGATCATACAAAAGACAGCTTCCAAAGACCAATGTGGAAGTTGGTATATAATTTATTATATTAATTCATTAAATTTTGGTGTTCTTAGAGGTTAATATCTAAGAAGAGGTGGGTGGAATCCTTTCAATTAACTTAGGTTACCTTGAACTCAAGAATCTAAGTAGAGAATTTAAGAAACCTGGAGCTGCATAGAGCCGTGAAATCTAGATTTAATGTTGAAGTGAGTTTGTAAACATAGGAGTTAATAGAATCTTGGGACGAAGAGTCCTTGGAGAGTAGATATAGGTTTGAAGTTTTGAATCACTATAAATTTTTGGTGCCATTGTGTTCATAATTATAATTTAAATAATATTTATAGAGTTAGAGTTTAAAAGAAAATTAATTCACCCCTCCCCTTCTTGAAAGTGTGGCGTCACCATGAGACCAACAGAAGACGCCCCCATTGTGCCAAATAGAGTGCATGTACATAGGAGAAGGTTGTTCAATATTGATGCATAAATGAATGAGGCAGTTAGATGAAATGAAAAGCATGCATTCTAGTTGGAATCCTCATGACATTGAACCTTAGAGGTTGATTTATACAACGATAAAGATCTAACCTCACCAAAAAAGTAGAGATCTAACCTCATAATAAATGAATGCCAATTATTTATGGGCGGCTCATAAGCGGGGGCCCTGGCCAAAGTGGGCGGGAGACCTGGTGAGGTACTTAGGTCAATGAGGTTTGTAGATCGAATCATCTCCCTCTCTCTCGTGACGACAGCACGAGGGGCGGACGTGGACCGCGAGGCGATCCTAGTAATAACCTTATCCCCCGGGAATCCAACCACCTTTGTGGGTCCAGTAGGCGTAGGTCCAGAGGCACAAAAGCTTTGACCCTGTCCTACGAATCGAGTCTCATGTACGGCCACGGCACGTCGCTTCTGCTTGCTCACGAGAGTGTGTCACCGTGTTAGAAGCTTCGGGAAGCCTGTTAGAAGATAATACTTTTTTATTCACTAGAGAAGGAGCTCTCTCTCTCTCTCTCTAGCACGTACCCAGAGATGCCACGGTGGGACGCGATTGATCCTATCCTGGAGATAGATCGTCGGAGAATCCCGTATGCTCAGAGTGAATTGGCTGATCTACACCATGAGTTCCTTTTCTCAGATTTCTGCCCACTTCCCGATCGATCTGCGGATCAAAATCGTTACTTCTGTCCAAACTTCAGAAATAATTCAACCCAGATGCGCAAAACCATGCTGCGATCTGTGATCAAACATGACAGTGAGAAAAGGGCAAACGATGCTTCCCCATCCATCACCTCCAATGGCCCCGCAGGCTCTCTCTCTCTCTCTCGCTCTGTAATCGTCATCCGTCCTCTTGGGCAAGACAAACCCTTGCGGGCTCCTCTCTCTCTCCCTCCCTCTCGCTCTGTATGCACGATGAGAAAACTGTAGAGGGTAGAATTCACAGCGGCAGCGTTTATCGCCCAAAGCAAGAACACCAAGGAAACGGGGAAATTATCACATTTTGCACAGGTAGGGTGGGGGGGAAAGGGACGGTGTGCCAGGACGACCGCCGCCGGTACGGAGAGTTTCAGAGGGAGGGAACGACGCCATACCCGGGGTCAACCATGAAGGCGGCGGCGGGGGGATCGCCGGAGGAGTAGATCCCGGCGACGTTGCTTTCCCTCTCCCCTCGCTTGGCGAACCTCCCCTTGATCCGTGGTCTCGTCTCCGCATACGCCTTCCTGGAAGCATAGCGGATCGTTTTCTCGAACCTCCTGTTCTTCCTCTTCTCCCTGTATCTCATCAGCCTCGCCTCTCTGTCTACCCTCCCCCCGTACGGGTTCGTCACGTCCGCACCGGCGCCGGCATCCGGCACCACGCCCACCTCCGACGAGGAGAACTGCGGAAGATCAAACCACCGAGATCAATAGGCTGAGCATGCGAGAATTAGAAGAGCGGGGAGAGGTCAACTTAACTAGCCACCGATGTGGTACTTACACTGTGACTGACGCAGGAGGCGGAAGGGTAGATCCCATGGAGTTGAGGCTTGGACATCCCGAAGTCGAAGTCGATTCCGCCGTCGGGGGAGATGAACGCTGCAGGATGGCCGGCGACCAACCCCGCCGCCGGCATCTGCTCCGGGACTACGCTGTCCATGGCGGCGTCCACGCTGCTCGGGTACTCCAGGTCGAGATAAGGGTATTCCTCCGACAAGTAGTCGGTGGTCTTGAGCTCTTCCTCCTCCACCTCCTCCACCTCCTCCACCTTCTGCTTGTGATGGAGATGATGGAGATGGTGGTCCTCCTCCGAAGCGGGAGGCTCGGGGTCGGGGAGGAGCCATGAGGCGGCCTCTGCCTCCTCGGACAGGTTATCGTCGTCATCGTCGTCGGAGAGGGAGGAGGAGGAGGGCCTGAGGAGGGGGAGCTCCGCCGCCGCCGCCGGTGAGTTGGCCGGGTTGAGGAGGGCAGCGGCGGCGGGGGTGTCGTAGAAGGGGGCGACGGGGATGCGGTGGTGGCGGCGGGCGAGGGGGTTGGCGGAGTGGATGTCGGCGTCGCAGGAGACGCAGAGGGCGGCGGCGTCGGCTTTGCAGGTGACGGCGGCGGGGGCCTGCTCGCAGACCTCGCAGAGCCAGACGCGGGCATGGCGGGAGGCGAGCTTGTTGGCCCCGTGGACTTTGGCGTCGCAGCCGCCGCACAGGAAGGCAGCGTCGGCCCGGCAGAAGAGCATCGCCGGCGACCCCCTGCAGAAGTCGCACTCCCTCGCCCCCATCACGCCCCAGTAGCTCTTCCTCTCTTCTTCTTCTACCACCTCTTTCACTGTGGCCATCTCTCTCTCTCTCTCTCTCTCCTTCACTCCGCCACAAACTCTCTCTCTCTCTCTCTGGTTTCTGGGGGGGGCGGGGAAGGGATTTTGGGATCGAAGGGGCCGACCTGGGGGAGTTTGGATTGGTCGCATCTGAGTCCATGCCACGTGGCTCGTTCTGGGCCAAGGAAATACGGCCGGGAATCCGATTTTGTTCGTGAAGTAACCGAAGCGTCTGGACCACGAGACTTTTTCAGATATATCCGTTTAAAATGTGATATTGTCAATAAAAGCCTCCTTGACGCCGTCCCCGTTGTACCATGCTTCCCCACCGACGCCAGAAGTATATCTCAAATTATATACCCAAAATTAGATATAAAATTATTCACGATCTTTTTAGGACCTTTTGTAATAAAAAAAACTATAGAAACCTCTGACAGCCGCCCGCGCTGAATCACCCCGAACCTATCTGATCGGTCACCGCCGGATCATGCGGGGCCCGCGTTACCCTCATCGCTCAGTTAAAATACCGAATTAATTCTCATCTCCAGAATCCATCACCGCCCGGCGCATTGATCGCTAGAGAGAGAGAGAGAGGGAGAGTGAGCGGGAGAGAGAGAGAGAGAGGGGGAGAGAGCGAGAGAGATAGAGAGAGATAGAGAGAGAGAGGGGGAGACAGAGGGGTAGAGAAAGAGAGAGAGAGAGAGAGAGGAGGGGGCAGAGAGGGGGAGACAGAGGGGTAGAGAGAGAGAGGGGGGGCAGAGCGAGGGAGCAGGGGGGAAGACACGGGGAGACGGGCAGAGAGAGCGAGAGAGAGAGAGAGGGCGAGACAGAGGGGGTAGAGAGAGAGGGGGGGAGAGAGAGAGAAAGAGAGTCCCAAATGGGCTCCAGGCTTCTGGGCCGCACAGATCGAGGGCGACAGATTATCGCAGAGATTCCGGTGGGAAAATAAAAAAGCTCTATATATTGACAAGAAATTGAATACACGGCGCAAAATTCAGGAAAATAAAGAGCTAAGAACTCCGTTGTCTGTGCCCATTTCGACCAATCACCACATTAATCAACTCCCTAAGACTTTGACTCTGGATGGGGAGGCTCGAAGTCAACCCGAGTGATCGTCCGCCTCAGTCAGCCACCTCCGGCCTTCAACGTGTTGCTCAGCCTGCAGCATGACGGGTCAACCACCAATGCGACAGATCATGAAACCGAATCGGCAAGCCCACATTTTTCAAAGGAAAAAGGACATTTTAATGTTTCAGGTGGAGTTTATCTAATAATATTTCAGGCGGAGAGAGAAGATCAGATCCCTCTGCACCACCCGCTGACTTTTTTTTTTAATTATTATTTTTTGTCATGAATAACGAATGAAGAGCATGACGTGATGAAAGGGTAAATCATAGATTACCAGTCCAAGCCCTCGAATATCCCTTCGCCTTTGATAGCCGACGTCTTGAAGATGGCCCATTGGCGACTCTTGATCTTGTGCAATTCCAAGGCCTCTGTCACTGCCGCATCATCAAGAGCACCAGGAAGATCCTGCACAAGAACAAAAGGTCAGCGCAGGTAGGATCAGTATCTGACGGAAGCTCTCTCAGATGTAATTTTCCCATTACTATAAAAATTAATTAATTAATTAATTAATTATTATCTTGTAACCTGCTTGTTTGCATAGATGAGGACAACGGCTCGCTTGAGTTCTTCCTCCTGAGAGAAATAAATAAACGACCGGAATGAGAAAATAGCAGCATGAAATGGATTTTCTGAGCAATTATTCTCCCTCGACTAGTATATATATATATATATATATATATTCACAGTTAAACAAACCCTCCACAATTTAAGCCGGATCTAAAGGAAAACACTGTAAGCAGAAGATTCAGGAGGCATACCTCCAGAATGGCATGAAACTCCTCCTTTGCTATTACAAGCCTCTCAGTGTCACTTGAATCGACTACATATATGATAGCTTGGGTATTTGGAAAATAGCATCTCCAATATGGCCTACATCCAATCGGTAGAACAAGGTGATGAGCTCAAGAACTGTCACTGATCAAAATTTCTACAACCAGCATAAATAATAAACGCATCCCGATGATAATACAATAGCAAATTTTGCTGCTTTAATACCTAAAGTGTTTCCATGGTTTTGACCATTAATGAGCATAATTTATTAAAAAGTAGTGATCACCATTTTCTGATTAAAGGCGTTCACTCTAGTGAAAACACAATCCAATGGGTTGATCATTTCCATTACATCTGAACCCTCTTTAGAGTAAGTATAGAGTTCGCTGTATTATTTTCCCTAATCCTTCAAACACTTTGGCCACAGAAATGGGGATAACTGATATGGAAAAGTGTCTACCCACAAACGACCCACGCCCTAAAAATATTAGTTGCCTAGAAGAATATCTACCCACATCTGATAATGATTCGAAATACAATGTTGATGTCCCAAACTCCATTCTTTGAACAATTCCCAATCACCACTGATCAACACAAGTGGGCAATCTAGCAAGCAGACAGCCAATAATCAGTCTCCCTTGTAGGATAGAAAGCAATCATCTACTATGTCAGCTTCCTCTTGAACTCCTGAAGAATGCCAGGACCATGTTCCTGGATCTATCTTTGGCAACATAAAGAAAAAAGATAAACATGGATCTCCATGGCCAGGCAACAAGGCTCCCAATGGGATATTACCGACTGTAAGTATTACCAAAATTCACCTTCCACCATTTCTTCTCTATCAAGAAGTTTTACAACCACCTTGGTTACCACCAAGTCCATTGGGTGACCTGGAGAGAGCTATACAACAATCCTACGCACACAGTGTTGGAGTACATCTCCGAATATGGAGGTTTTTGGATTAAACCAACTCACCGTCTCTATCCACAAAGAATACTTCTTATTTCAAACAAAAAGCACCATTTAAAATCCTCATCAACACATTCTTATTAGTCCCAGAACTCGTGAGTAACAGAGGGAATGGCAGAAAAATCAAAATGAGCAATAAGGGTAGAGTAAGTAATGGAGCAACTAAGTTCCTCTTCCACCTTTTCTTCTCTTCAATTCAGTATCATTGTTTCCATCTCCAAATGGCATCGAAACATAATCTACATTTACCAACTATTTAACACAGTGTAACATATGGCATTCAAAAGTCAAGATGGCATACTTCTACTGCACTGGCCAAACTAAGTCTGCTTTGTTGATGAAAATATGTGTGGCATACAATTAAACTATACTCATGAATAAAGGAGACAAAAGGTCATACAGATGAGGTGCAGGACCAAGCTTGTAATCATTCTTACGGGTTCTAGAAAATCCAATCCACTTTTAATAAAGAGATAAATTCCACGAGCTGGTGGGATCTTGCAGCAGGAAAATTTTCCTCTACGCAAGAAACATTGCGGATGAATATTATATCACCGTGCAAGCATACCTAAATATTTAAAAAATCTCTACGAGTAGAAAAAAATGAAAAGCTTTCCAGGGGGCACGTCTCTGATAGGATCCTCGTCATGTTGATGAATAACATGCAAAAGAAAAGGGAAAAAAAATAAATCAAGGGTCTCATATTTTCGGAAATAATTTGAGTCCATGAACTTTTATCCCTTGGCGGTTGTGCATGACACAACTTTATTTTAAATAATACAAAGACAGAAGCCCTCCTTTTCAAAGTGAAATTTCACATCTTTTCAATCACCATCAAAATTACAGGAACGCCAATCTACATATTCCCTACAATTTTTCTGCCAAAAAGTGATATCGTAAAACAAACCTCCCACAAATTCCAAATTTCCGACAATCAGGCGATAAAAATTGTGGTTCATGATTTACAGCTAGAAGTATACGTGGAATTACAAAAATCTTGTCAAACAGGGGGAACAGATTGAGATTTAGCTACTTCAGTTAACAAAAAAAGATTGATCATCATCAGTGTAGTGATGATGCTCCCAGTGCCACACGTTGCTTTGTGATGTAAACTATGAGATTGTTTGTTTCACAGCCCTGCGATTCTAAACGAAAAGCTTTTTCAGGGCACCTGGTGTCATAATGCTATGATTACTCGTCATTCAAATAAACGGCAAAAAATGAAAAGCAGCTTAGATTTACGCACTATCTTCTGTTAAGCAATTAATGAATCCCAATATGTTAATCCACATTGATACACATCCTTTCTGTTTCTCACGATTCAACGATGGTCAGAGCAATTTAGTCTGAAGCATTAACTCTTACCTAATAATAGAACCGTAGTGCACAACTATTTAACGTTTATGTTCTAATTTTTAAGGTCTGCCAGTGCATCATTTCTGGCTAGTGGTGAACCAGCTGATGTTTATCTCAAAAATGAGCTTACCCAAAAAAGTCTTAGCATTTATTTGGATCTCTCAATGTAATTGATTGTAACAAATAATTGAAGTGGTCTCATCATCATGAATGCTCATCAATTTGCACTTGGTGGAGAATAATGAAAGATATGCAGATGCAAGTATTATAGGTCATTGTACATTGTGCGCTTGTCAAATACAATATTCAGATTACTATAAATGAACACCATATTTGGACAAACGATTGTGCCACAACATGATAAATTAAACCATGAAAACTTACTAAGAAAACCTTCAGTATTTAGATATGAAGAAATAACGAAAATGGAAAGAGAAGCTTAGTCCAAGGAGACCATGTAATAAGAAACTTACTTTTACACTCAAGCACCCATACATGATTGCTTGTAAACATTCTAGGAACGAATTTATTGACAATGGTATGATACTTCATCTCAAGACAAGATGATGAAAAAAATTCTTGAATTGGAAATTCTAATATAAAGAACATGGACCTAGACAGACTAAGGAGAGAAGTTACGAAATTACCTGATGCTAGTTTGTCCACCTGTTCCAAAAAGAAAGGATATGGAAGTTAACCAGGGCCTCGCAGAAATGTGCTGCTGAAAGTAGTCCTAAAAGTATGCAACAGACATTGGCTACACAGGCAAAATTAACAGCAGAAAATTCGACAACGATGATTGCCATGATTTTTTGTTTCTTTACTAAGCATACGTCGGAAGAAAATCGTTAAACATGATACCTTCGTGTCACATTCGCTACAGACAAAAACAAGATGGCGAAGGATGTCAGGAACAGAGACCCATTTAACATGGTATTTACAAAGACACAATGGCATTTAGATCTCAATGCCTATTCTTTACAAAGCTCGCTGACTTTTGTAATCAAACCCATGTTCATCCATAAAAATGTTTGTAATCAACACAGGCGTAAATAAAATGATAACTCTATGAAAGCTGCCACCTTGTCCACTGAAACCTTTGAAATTGCAATGCCCCATTTAAACACTAGACAACTTCATCGATGGTTTTAAGGAAAAAAACGCATGGGTATCTGGAATTTGCATGTCCAAGGCATGTTAAATATTTAAACATATCAATGGAAGCGAATGTCACAACAAAACCATCACTCCAAGATATCAAAATCCTCACAAGAAGTAGACATCTATACATGATCCTGGAATTGATATCCCTATTAAAGGCCCCAACAAGAAAATCACAAGATAGGATTAACGTTTACAAAGTGACAGTTCCCAGGATCAGACGGTCTCCAGCTAGCGAGCGGCTCAAGTCAACTATGGGGTCCAACTCCTCGATCTATGCTACTAACAGTGCAAAGAACCACATAGGGACCCCGGGGAACATTCTGTTGTACTACTAACACTAGCTGGTACTAAAGTAGATCCATTCCGGATCGATCGAATTGGTACAACATTCAAGCTTGCGTATTGCAAAAACTCGAAAAATTGATAGATAAATAATCCAACTGTATTGCACGGATGAGCTCATCAAGAATCTGAGTAATATCGGAAAGGGGATGAATCGAGCACAGTTTCCAGGGGCAACGGTAGCGCATAAGAAACCATCACAAGCAATGTCTGAAATAAGCTAACGAACAGTGCGGAAGAGAGCTCTTTATAGAAAAAATATGAGCGTACCTAGATCCCAGACTTGAAACTTAATATTATTGTACTGCACAGTCTCCACGTTGAAACCGATTGCTGCACGATTGGGCGGGAAAGATACGACAAGCCCTTAGTAGTCAGAGACAGGAAATGATTTACAAATAACGGTAGAATTGGAGATTAGCAACACAATACCCACTTGGGATCGTCGAAACAACTTCCCCCATCTGCAGCCGATCTGCAACCACAGAAAATGAATCAACTCCGACAATCCACCCGGAAAAAGCGGAGACAGTAGGATAGCGCCCGGGGGCCTACAGAGGATCGTGGTTTTGCCGGCATTATCGAGGCCGAGGACGAGGATCCGAGCTTCCCGGTTCCCGAAGATGGAGCCGAGTATTCGACCAAAGACGATACCCATCCTTCCTCAGACACCAGATCTGCCCTCCGGCAATTCAGATCTGCAGGGCAGGACCCTACTTCCTGAGGCAGCACAAACGAAAATGACGATACGACCCCACGAAGAGGAGGAAAGAGCACGCAGAAGGGGAAGCTATCCCCGGCGTCCTGCAGTTTGGGGGGGTTGGGAGGAGTTACCAAGAACGGAGAAGAAGCCAAGTTCCACCGGCTCGTAGGGGTTAACCGATGGAGGATCAGAGGGACGGAGAGATCAGGAAGATAGAGGAGGGTGAAGGGAGGATTCCATGCGTCCTCTCTCTCCTCCCACGGGGAACCAGTAGAACTGAACCGAAGCCTTTCCCGGCCGAATCTTTCCGACCGGCCGGTGGGCGCACTACGATGGTGGGCCTATTTTATGGGCCGACTCCGAACAGAACCAAAGGGGCCATTGAGTGTGTGGGGGAAGGACACCGACGGAAACGTGGGAATCGTCTCGCATGTGGGCTTTCTGTGGGCCCATTGGGCCCATAGAATCTCTTCTCCTGGCCTCCGTAAATAACTCCCACTCGGATTGTAAAATGAGTGGACCTCGCCCCAACAACCGAGAACCCCTCTCTCTCTCTCTCCTCGGCATGGGCAGAAGTGAAGAAGAAGAAGAAGCCGTGATCTTTGTCTCTCTCTTCCCCCCCGGCACGGGTAGATGTGGAGAGGAACACAAAGAACGAGGTGGAGAAGAAATGGACCCAGCCGGTGAGGCTGAGAGCTTATTCCACTCAAGATTCCGACGCCCACAACGAGACCGACTCACTTGAACCGACTGACCGACCGACTCACCCCGCAGCTCCGCCGATTCCACTTCGATCACAAACCCCACCGCACGCAAACGCAAGAGAGGCGAAGTAGAGAGAGAGTAGTAGAGAGAGAGCAGAAGAGAGAGAGAGAGAGAGAGAGAAGGGGGTACGTGGCCGATCTTGAGCTATAGATAGCTTTTAGCTTTTTATAGCTTGAGGAAGACGAACTCCTGGATGGCGGGGACGTCGCCGATCTTGGAGAGGGTGTCCTTGGAGGGCTCCTCGTCCACGCCGATGGCCATGATGGCCTGCTGGCCGTGCCCGATCCTACCGACGCTCATGTAGTTCACGTTGACGTTGTCGTCGCCGAGGATGTTCCCCACGCGGCCGATCATCCCCGGCTGGTCAACCTGCCGGCAAAGGATGAGGTTCCCCTCGAGGCTCACGTCAACGGCGAAGGACCCCACGTGGGTCAGGTGCGGAATCCCGTCCTTGACCCGGCCCTCGACTCGGACCTCCCCCGAGTCGGAGAGCGCGCTCGCGAATCTCGACTCCACATGGCTGAGGTGGACCTGGATGGACTCGAGGGGGGCGCCGTCGGCGGGGTTCCCGCCGTGGAGGAAGTGACGCTCCTCCGTGATACGGAGCCCGCGCTGCTTCGCCGTGAAGTCAGCGTTGACCAGGTTGACGAAGACGCTGGAGACGGGCTCGACGATGCCCTTGGTCACCATGGCCCGCAGGATACGGGTGTCCAGATCGTCGGGGTTCCGCGCCGACGCGTACGAGATCTTCACCCCTTTGATGCCGCTCCTCCCGGCCACCAGCTGGACGGCTAAACGGCCCAGCTTCTCCGCCAGCACCACATACGGAGCCAGCTCTGACAGAACCTGAATATCATCACATTCACACACACAAGCACAGAGATAAATGACTAATTAAATAAATAAATAAACAATTTGATTGGCTACTATATAGCTTATATTTTCTGAGGGCGGAATATTGATTACGTATGACATAAGAACCGGCTTACCTCGGCAGGAACCATGGGGGCATTGACGGCAGTGGCGGCGAGTTCACCGTTTAAGGCCCCGACAACGGCTTCTGCAATCTCAATGGCGACGCCTTCCTGGAATGAGAAATCTCGTTCAGGAGGAGGGTAGAGAGAGAGAGAGAGAGAGAGAAGGAAATGCCATTGGAGGAAAGCCAGAGGGAGGGGGGGGTGGTGAGATGCGGACCTGGGCTTCCACTGTGCTGGCCCCGAGGTGAGGAGTGACGGTAACATTTGGATGCTGCACCAGCGGGCTATCTTTATGTGGGGGTTCTTCTGTGAACACATCAAGGGCGGCCTGCTCGAATTGAGAGAAAAAAATAAGAATCCCTCAGAAAATAGAAGAATTCATTCACGAATCAGAATGTGAGTGAACTGTGAGAAGACTGAACTTCACCAAAGGAACAAGCTAAAGTACCTGAGCGACAGTTCCATTGTCAAGGGCTCTCACTAATGCATCTTCGTCAATAACACCACCCCTTGCAACGTTGACAATCCTGACGCCCTTTTTCACCTTTGCAAAGGTCTCATCATTGAAGATCTTTGCAGTAGTAGGCGTCAACGGCATGTGAAGTGAGATGAAATCTGAGGTGGCGATGGCCTCGTCAAAGGAAACCAACTCCACGCCAATTGCACGCGCTCGATCAGCAGGGGCATAGGGATCATGAGTAATAACATGCATTCCAAGACCCTTTGCACGCCGAGCAACTTCAGAGCCGACTTTTCCAAAACCCAGAACGGCCAGTGTCTTACCGACCAGAGAGACACCAACAAATTTGTTACGTTGCCATTTCCCTGTCAATGGTCAAGAAAATTAATGGGGTAATTAAGGCCATAGTCGTTTTCGAACCATGTAAAGAAAGAAGCAGCTCAGGAGTAGCTGAAATGAAATTTCTGAATATAGAAAGAGCAGTAGAGCTCTTGAGAAAATCCGTGAAAGATACCGATCTTATGACGGATGAAACAGTGGAAGCTGCTCAACTTACAATCACAGATTTCAGAATATTATCTCTTGCAAGCATGGGATCCATAAATTAAAGGAAACAAACTACAGATGAACTAATGCCGTGGTTGATCATAAGATGAATCACTCACACCTCCAAACGCACTGAGAAACAGTCCGACAAAGGGAAACATGACGACATCAACTTATCATATTTCAGGAAGAATCATGAGCTATCTATAGTCATATTTGGACAATTATTTTCACGGAAACACGAGTTACTTGCTCCGAATAGGGAAGGAGGGAGAGAGTGCTTCGATTTTAATTAACAGATTCAAAGCTGCCCCTCAAAAAATGCATAAATTAGATATTCCTATATTTCAGATATTTTTAGAGGCAAACAAATAAAATGAAGGAGAGGGAAAGGGACAAAGCCTTCAGAAAATAGACAGTGACCGAAAAGAAGAATCGAGTTTTTGAAAAGAGAAAAGGAGCCTCAGTTAATTGATAATAAAAAATGAATACGCCAAGGTGTTTTGACTTTCGCAGGGGTCCACGACTTTCTTTTATTTCTATCCACTTCCAGGGGTCCACTAAATTATCAAGTCCGGTGAAAAAAGCATCGCAGAAAAACCCGCAAAACGAAACAGATCTAAGCAGATCTACAAAGATCTCGTCCTTCAAAGAACGCCGGGAGAGGTGTGCCAGGAGAAGAGTAGTGTCTCACCCGCCTTCATGGAGGCGTCTGCCTGCGCCACGTTCCTGGCCATGGCGGACATCAACGCGATCCCGTGTTCCGCAGCAGCGACAGTGTTCGCCGTAGGGGCGTTGACCACAAGGCAGCCGAACTCAGTGGCAGCCTGAAGATCAACGTTGTCGATGCCAACTCCAGCTCGGCCGACGACTTTCAGCCGCCCCTTCGCGGCCTCAAACACCTCCCGAGACACCTTGGTCCCGCTCCGCACGATCAGCGCGTCGCAGAGGGAGATCTTGGCGCAGAGCTCCTCCTGGGACAGGTTGTACTCGCAGTTGACGTTCGCGAACCCTCGGAGGACCTCCAGCCCGGCCTCCCCGAGCTTCTCCGACACCAGCACCGTCGGCTTCGATGCCACGGCCGCGGCAGCCGACGAGACGGCGGCATCTGTACCGCCGACCGGCGTGGACACGGACACCGCAGCGCATGAGATCCGCCCCACTCCGGCGGAGCGAGCCCCTGCGGACCGGCCTAGGAAGGGAGCGGCCGCCGATCGGAACGAGACGGAGAATTTGAGGCACTGAGGAGGGAGCAGAGCGGGAGAGGAGATGGCGGCGCGCCCAATGATCGTCCTGGCGGAGAGAGAATCCATGGCGTCCTCGCCCTCCCTTCTCCTCCGCACTTGGCTCCGCCCAGAGTAATGATTACCACTGTCTGTCTGTGAGTGGAAGATTTTTTGGGGGAAGCAGGATTTTATTGGTAGTCAAATGGGCCCCACCACTCATCTAGTGGGCCACTATCGGCGAAGCTACCAAAACACGCCGTTACGTCTATTTGAGCCGTCCGATAAAGATTACGGCGACGGTTCACAACCCCTTGAATTTTCTGCCGTCAGATGGAATGGGCCCAGTTTCGCTGGGCCATTCTCCGTCCCCGGACGATTCTGGACTTCTTTCCGGGCAGGATCCTTCCTTGCTGCGGAGGGGCGCTCCGTCCGTGGTGTTTTCTAGATGCCCGACGTGGAAAGCCCCACCTGACGTCAGCCCCGTTGGTCGACCTGGACAAATCGAGAAGAGGCCACATCAGACAGCTTCCAATCGAATCCGATATTACTCTTCTTTTTCCTCAGGTGATGATGACGTGTAGTTTGAGGTTTCTGGAAGATCGTGATTACCGCCGTGATTAGCTCATCAACTATCCACAAAATGCGGATATTAGTTCATAAAATCCCTTCTCTCTCTCTCTCTCTCTCTCTCTCTCTCTCTCTCTCTCTCGCTCTTGAAGAGGGTATTTATTTATTTAAATATATATAAACCGGAGAAAAAAAAAGGGTTAGCACATTCAGGACGTATCCACCAGCTGTAACAAGAAACTGACCAGTGGAATAAATAATGAGTCGGATAATCTCTGAGGACACATAAGAAAACAATTCAAAAAGAAGGGTTTGGTTCAGTGACGACCAATATGACTTTGATGAGCTAAAAACAAATTAAACGCGTATTTTTTCTGACTCGATAGAAAATTTAAAAATTATATCCATTCGCCATGGTCTTCTCGATGGAAGACATACTTTAATAATAATAATAATAATAATAATAATAATAATAATAATAATAATAATAATAATAATAATAATAATAATAATAATAATGGCATCATCATTATCATTGTTGATACTCCCACATCTTTACGTTTCTTGGAGCGAGCTGTGGACGAACCAAGCCTTCTAGGAGCTTGAAGCTACAGGCCCTTGAAGAGCAACTGGAATCTGGGTATCCTCTCTGGAGGCAGGGGGCAGCTGACAATCAGCTTGCCTTTCATCGCTCCTCTGAATATTACCTGCCGAAGCACAAATCAAGCGGGTGCCCAATGAAGGAACTTGAACAGAAATCTATAACGTTCATTTCCCAGTTAAAAATTCTTGATGTGGTGTAGAAAAATGCCACAACCCCAGACCCAAAGATCATCAAACAAAGATGAAAGAAAATAGCTTAGAACATCTCGTGTGAAGGCATCTATGGACAATAAATAATATATAGAGCCAATGCAAAGAGACCCAATGCCTTGAATCTGTTTCCAAGGCGAATATTCTGCTTCGGGCAAACAACCAAATGGTAGATGAGATCAGCTACAAGGTGGATAAAAAATAAAAAAAAAGGATTGCCATGAATCTGACGTGCTGGTTATGTCTGTGATGATATAAGATAAATAAATCCACACCCCGTTTTGATTTGCCCATGATTTTGTTCGTTTCAGAGTTGGTCTAGTCTATTAGATTGATTTATCTATTGAAAGAAGAATCATACGAACCACATCTGACCTGTTTTCATGCATGTAGTAATCTAAACGAACGATCCACATGTAGATTTCTGTGATTTAGTTTTGAGCCTGAGCCAGATTAACCTGACATATGAAAAGTTTTAGCCATCTTTGGAACGCTAAGCCTTCACAGGACGTCAAATAGTAGAAGAATGCTACTGTGTTGAAACGTGAGCGCACTCAACCCCTAAAACCAAGTTTCAATCAATTTATGAACCAATACGTAGAGGGTTTATGCTCCTTATTGGATGGCTAGGCAGTACAAGCCACACAGGAAAATGGGCAACTTTGATGAAAGGGATTACTTTCATGAGTTTCCCAACACATAATTTCTCCAGAATATTTCATTACTTTTTTAGTCAATAAACTTGTTAACATAAAACGCTTCAGATATTAAGCATCTTCACTGACATAGATCTGAGATAGCGAAATATTAATTTCAATCACTTACGGTTTGTTACAGATGTTGATCTTCTACTCATGTTAGGCACCGGATGCATCAATGATCATCCACAGACATTCATTGATGGTAAACTGAATTTCATAACATGGATCTTTAGGTTGATGAAAGAATCACAGAGTCAAAGAGAACAGATGTGCAACAGGCAATGGGGGATCAATTTCAAGAATTCTGAGAGGCTTCATGGGATACCTCTGCAACATCGATAAAATCCTGCTTTGTGTGGAATGAGCCAACCCACTTAGTATGATCAGCACTCCTGCAAAAGATGATGAGAGAAGTCAATGCGAGGACCCCAAGACCAACCTAAAAGTTTCAGGATCAGATATTCTGAATGAGAAAAGGTTGTCCACTGTTTGCAGGTAATATAGAGAGAGACAAGTTACATGGAACAAAGCTTTTGATGCTAGCTCTTCACCTCTATCTTACGGGAGAGTGAGTAATTTTCTTTCACAGGGGATGCAGAAAAATCACTGGCCACATCAAAACAGGAGGAAACGGGATAATATACCTCTTTCTATGAATTCTACGTTTTTATTGATCATCCACAAAAGAATAGGTACGAGATTTCTTCAGAGACATGAAATTCACCAGATCCATCAAGGTATCCGTCGGGACCCAAGAATAGGGCAGTGACAATTTTGAGAGGAACAAGAAAGGACGCTGGTAGGTTTTCTCAACGTTAATTTAGCTGATCTGTAGTCCGTAAATGTCAAAGAAAATTTTGGTATGATTTTCTACTACATTCCTATGGAAATTGGCGTATATGTTACACACACACACACACACACCCCAATTTTATGTAATTCAAATAAAAAGAAATAAGCACCAGCAGAAAATTAGGAAATTAAGAGAAATAAAGTTACCCCGAGTTCATCTTCATGTGATGTGCGTTGAAGAAGAAGACAGTCGAGGGGAGCATCGTGATGTCGAAGTACTTGATATAAACCTGTATCTCCTCCGCATCCGCATCAACCAAGGCGATGGTCGCGAACTTGGAGACATCCCGGCACGACTTGTAGAGCTGCGAAACAGAGAGCGGCGAAGAGGAGACTCTGATCTCAGATCTCAGATGAACATGGAAGAAGACAACGATCAGTATTCCTTCGGAGGAAAGGGAAGCATCGGAGGCCATACGATTTCGTCGAGATGGACGCATTCGCGTTCGGAAGCCCTGCCGAAGCGGAGGATGAGGACCTTGTCGAGGGTGTCCCTGATGATGGTGTCCACCTCTCTCTTCCTCGTCAGAGTCGGCAAGAGGATGTTGCTCATATCACCGCCGCGGCCGCCGCCGCCGCCGCCGCCGCCGCCACCACCGCCACCGCCACCGCCACCGCCGCTGGTCGCCAGAGTCCCCCTCCCGACGCTGTAGAGCCTTGTTCCGAAGTTATCACGGCAAAACGGGTCGATCGAGAGGACCAGACATGAACACAGGGGAAGCCCATTAAACCATTATTGGGCCGGCCCATACACAAAAAGAGTTAACTGCTTACGGGGCTGCTCTTGAAGTCCCAAAGACGGCCCAAAACCATTTTGGGCCACTATTCCTTCTTCAAGAGGAATAAATCGTCTGCAACCAAAGCCCGATTAATCTTCGAGCCAATTGTTTTGGGCCCAGGCCCGGTAGGATGCTCTGGCACAAAACCCTTGAGTAGGGAATCTCCACTAAAGCAAATCAAGGTTCATAATTTGCAGCATAGCATAAAAAACGAAATAATAATCGCATGTATTCCGGTCAACTGCTCCAGTGTCCACCTTCCGCGGGGAAGCTCCTCCAACGGGATGGCTTGTCGACGGAGGTGGGTCCCAGGTGTTGTGCTAAAAATGGCTATGCTAGCATGCTGACCGAAGCAAGAACATCAGCTGGTTTTATAAGAGCTGCCTGGTTCTATACGACGAGGTCAACCCGAGACTTGTAGAGCATACCGGGATTGTTTTAGATGCCTCTGCTCCTCCATGGAGTCAAGGAGGACCAGTGGAGGAGGGCATCCTTCCTGCAGTCAACTTCCCCTTGGAAGCATACGTGATTCCCACGCACTGGGCTTCTCTCTCTCTCTCTCTCTCTCTTCTCTCTTCTATTTTGGCGGGGGGTGGAAGTTACTAGGTCCCATGGGGTAGAAGCCTAGCTACCGGATCATGAAACTAGCTACAATAGGACGAAAGGTGGCCCAGATTCTGGGTTGCTGTCCAGAACCCACCTGCCATTGATTCCTAATACGGTGCTGTAGAGAGGAGAGAGAACAAGGAATGACACCTGTAAACCGAAAATAAAGGAGATTAGAGAGAGAGAGAGAGAGAGACTTAAAGATCTCTCTGCAGGACATTGTAGGAACATTGTTGGTGGAGAAAGGCTTTCGATGATCACCAAACCCCTCAAGTAACCTAATGGGAATAGAAAAATAGAAGCGTAATAGAAGTGGCAGACTCGACTGTGTGCGAGAGAAGAGAGAGAAGGAGAGAGAGAAGGAGAGAGAGAGAGAGAGAAGGAGAGAGAGAGAGAGAGAGAGAGAGAGAGAGAGTATTTCTTTTCCCCATTGACCTTATGAGGCTCTAGTAGATTCCTAGATTAAAGAACGAGTTTTGGTCAATGATCATCGCGCGTGGCAGGTAACTAACACCATGAGTGGTGCATGATTTGGCTAGATTTACGAGACGAGATTCCATCAGCTGCGGTTCCAAATGTCTCCTTCCCCACCTCTCTCTCTCTCAACCGTGACCAGATGGAACCGGTGAAGTTTTTTGTCAAGGGGCCTTTATGATTCCCTCTCTTTCTCTCTCTCTGTGTACCCCCCCCCCAACAACCAGCAACGAGCAGGTGGGTCATTGCGGCGGACTCCGCAGAGGGCTCCGTATAAAGGGCTGCTAAAGGTGTATCTCATGCGAATCGTTCAGCTTTCAGTATTTTTGGACCGCGGCGAGAGTGGGTAAGCGTTGACCTTCGGATCTCCCCCGAGAGGACATCCAAGGACAGATCTTGGTCCATTCCCACTTGTCAAACCTCGCGAGGGCCTCTCATCCTTGTGTTATTGGAAGAAAGTGAAGGGACAGAGAGAGGCATCCTCGCAAGTAACGGAAAGAAACGGATAGATTATCCATATAATGCGGCACACACTGTGGCCCTTTCTCTGGGCTCGTGCCTGGTCAGGACCTGGATACTCATGGTTACGCATTCTGGTCATGGTTGCTTCAGGCGGAAAGGCGTCGTCCTTTTACAATCGAAGACAGTGAACTGCCCTGGCGGAGATGAGCATTTAGGGACGGTAGAAGGGGAGATCTGCTTCAGAAATCCGTCCTTTCGCGGTCAAGATTTGTGAACACGAGGGCCAAGACCGATTCTCGGACGACCAAAGACCAAATGAACTCAGGAATACTCAGAGAAAGGGAACCTTGATGTATTAGTTTACGTGCCTAAACGGAGGTTATCCCATTTTCATCTCTATTTGGGTCGATTTAATTGTTGACCAATGGAAGTAGTGCTGGCACTCGGGATCTCCCCGGTCAGCAGATCCCTGGCTGAAGCTTCCGGCCGGGTGCTCCAAAGCGATGGTGAATCTGTCGCCTAGCCTTGCTGCCGACAGCGTATACACGTCTTTACAATGTTTTTCAAGATTTTAAATGTATCTTATTGTTGAGTTTCTCCGCGTCCAGTTCCTCTTCTTCCGAAGATTTTTTCGGAGATGAATAAGACGTCAAGGAAATGCCGGTGGTCTTCTCCCTAACAAAGGTAGGCTTTGATCACCCCGCCATGATTGGAGGAAAATTGAGGCCCCCATTCCTTCCTCGTCTCCCCTTCCTCTCTCTCTCTCTCTCTCTTTCTCTCTCTCTTCTCTCTCTCCTCTCTCTCGCACTCTCTGTTCTCTCTCTCTCTTCCTCTTCTTCTTCTCCCGCTCTTTCTCTCTCTGTCTCTCCCCCCTCCCCTCTTCCTCTGTCTCTGTCTCTTTCTCTCCCACTCTCTCTCCCCCAGGTCGTCTTTCTTTGTCATGGTGGACCTATTTTTACACTATAGGCTTTACCTGTCTTCATTGATGCGGGTTCTGATCGCGAGGTTGTCCCGTACCAAACCCAGCGGCTTAGAAGAAGAAGAGAAGGGAAGGTGTCCCTGCCTGTGGGTGTACTCCCGGTTGACTTTATTCTCCCACCATGAAAGCTCCAGGGGCATATTAACCAGGATGACCCCACAGCTCCGACACACGGAGGGGATCCACGAAGTCAAAGATCTGGAGCGGTCCCCTCGGAGATATTTCAGAGGACAGACAAGAAAAATCAAACCCCACTCGCCGTAATCTCAACCGATTTCTGAAAAACTCAATGTTCGTAAGAAGTGGGACGGAGATCGATAGCCTTCTCCATTGACAAATTATGAAGCTCTGGTCAACTCCATACGCAAGGCTATACACAATTCATACACACACGCATACGTTAACGTAACTGAATTTATTTCTACCAATGTGGAATTTTTTTAATACTAATTTTAATTAGGACGACCCTGTTGGAAGACCTTGTAGGCCGAAAGGCTAGTCAAGAAGAAGCATCACATATCTTCGTGAGGGCAGTTTGACCTTAGAGCATGGCCATGATTTTGGGCAGACCTCAGTCGTTGATCAGAACGTCAACTCAGCTCCCCAGCTCGACGAAAGTTCGTAAAGTAGAATGTCAATTTTTCTCACACTATAAAGTCCCGGAGTCCGATCTTATCTGCATAATGTGTGAACTATTATGAGGGTTAGTAGGCAGAGAGTGAGAGAGAGAGGGATAGAGAGAGAGAGGAAGAGACAGGGGGAGGGAGGGAGAGGGACCGGGGGAGGGAGAGAGAGAGAGGAAGAGACAGAGGGAGAGGGAGGGAGAGGGACCGGGGGGAGGACGAGAGAGAGAGAGAAGATTAGAGAGAGGGAGAGGAAGAGACAGAGGGGGAGGGAGGGAGAGGGACCGGGGCAAGGGGGGGAAAGAGAGAGAAGATTAGAGAGAGAGGAACAGACAGAGACTTTACCACGACAAGAGAACCGGAAACCGATCTACCTCTTGCAAATGCTATAAGCCAACAAGATTCATGTTCCATCTTTCTCTCTGTCTCTCTCTCTCCCTCTCCTTTCTGTTTCTCTCTATCAGGTGGCGGGGCGTAGGTGGTGGAGCCTGTGGAATCTAGTGGGGGAAGAGGAGGACAAAGCCCAAGGACGCCAGCGGCAGCGACTCCTTTCCGGGTCTCCCTACTTACTAATGTCTGAGTCGTCCCACTTTATGTAATTAATTATCGACCACTAGGTTCTTTGATTTGGTTTTTATTTGTGTTTTCTTGCGGGCAGTGCCATGCCGTGGACCCGATTCTTGTCAAGTCCCCACCCCCACGGTCAATGAGAGAGCTTTCTGGTTTCCTCTTCTCCTTCCTCATCTTTACCCCTAAAAAGGAGAAGCTTTCGGCTATCCCGGCGCCTTCCTTCCCTTCTTCTCTCCACAGTTTATTCCTTCCTTGAGAGAAAGCTACCGGGCCTCTTCCTCTTGAGAACGTTTCATCAGAGCGAGCCAATCGATGTAGCTTCTTTCCCCATTACCACTTAAAATGGATTATATCGTCGGATGGAATCCACTGTTGCGAAGTAAAAGACAAATAACCTAGTAAATGGGCACGGTCGTGGACCTTAGGAACCAAATGGTTTGAGGGTTGAAAGACCCACACGGGTTCTCTTGCGAGGTATCCCAAGTGACCGAGTCTAAGACTCGTCCTGTTCAATGGGTGGAGGAGGTTTTATGTTCAATTGACCGATGCATTCAAAGATTGTATGCCAAGGTTAGCGTATGAATGGACGTTGCGGTACCAGCGGAGGTACATCCTAAAGTAGGGTAATTTTTATTTATAAAGTGGTTTAGGAAAGGCAGACTGATACATGGACCTTGAAACTAATCAAAGGAGACGACGTGACTGAGGGTAAAGAGGAAAAACATCCCTAGAAATCCCGTTCAACGAAAGCTTTCTCTGTTTGTCGGTCTGTTGTAAGCATCGCATCATCTCTTTCCTCGCTCTCTGTATCCCTCTCTCTCTATCTACTTTCTCTCTCAGTATAAAACTCAGGCACATGGATCGCTTTCTCCCCGCCGGACCTGACATCCACTACTTGACTCCTACCTTCGCCGTTGTTGGGTGATAGAAGGAGAAAGAGAGAAAGATGGGTAAGGCACCCTGCTGCGACAAGGCCAACGTGAAGAAGGGACCATGGTCACCTGAAGAGGACGCGAAGCTCAAGGCTTACGTCGAGCGGCATGGTACTGGGGGAAACTGGATTGCTCTGCCTCACAAAATTGGTCAGTCTAAGCTCTCCCTTCTCTGATAGAAATTTTCTGGAGATCAACTAGGTGCAAATGACCCTAGAAGATAAACTACATGTAAGAAGATTAACTACACAGAATCCGAGGAGCCAGAAAAGGATCGAACACAGGAGGATCTCATCTTCGAGTTGAAATCCAGTATGATTTTACTCTCATGCCATCTCTCTTCTGCTAGGGGCCCGAAAATTCACATAAATAGGAACGTGTGTGGGTTCCCAAGAACTAATCTTACAAAATACTAAAAAAACCCTGTGGAACCTGGTTATAACCCTCTTCTTGAAAGGTTAGAAGGGAAAAAATCTGGAGAGATGTTCTTCTATATCTCCAAACCTTACTCCTTTGAGGGATGTCCAGGTCTCAAGAGGTGCGGGAAGAGTTGCAGGCTAAGGTGGCTGAATTATCTGAGGCCCAACATCAGACACGGTGGCTTCTCCGAGGAAGAAGATAACCTCATATCAAGCCTATATATTAGCATCGGCAGCAGGTAGCCTCTCTCTCGCTCTCTCCCTCCCCCTCTCCTCCCCACCCCCCACCCCCCCACCCAATTCCTTCACACAGTTTTTCATCTCCACATCAGCTAGAGAAGCCCCTCCATGCCACAATTTCGGCTCTGACCATACTTCTTCAGGTGGTCAATTATCGCAGCCCAATTGCCTGGAAGAACAGATAATGACATCAAGAACTACTGGAACACCAAGCTGAAGAAGAAACTACTTGGGAGGTGCAAAGAATCACAGGCCAGCGGCAGCCCGTCCTCAAGCCAAGAATCCATGGTGTCACAGAATTATGAAGGACTTCCGCGAGGACTAAGCGCCTCTGCCCACGAAAGGATGCAGCTCCACGTCCAACTCCATGGCCTCCAAGGCTCCTTATCTCTGTTGAATGAGCCAGCTCTATGGCACAAGTTCCAGAATCTTGGCAACCGAGTTCTCTCGATCCAACACGACTCCACGAATGCAGATGAGTCAGTGCAACGACTCACCGAGACCAGTTCAACAAGGGAATCCCTTCCGACTCGACCCGAATTCGATGAACTAAGTAGCTTCGTGGTTGAGAATACCCTCGGGGGCATCGAAACTTCCTCCTTGAATGGGGCCTGCTCACCCTCGAGGTCAATGACCTTCAACATGGAGCTTGTCTCCTTCAGAGAGACCGATGGAGGAAGAGAGAGTGAAATATGGTGGGCTGGTAATGGTATCGACGAGCAGTTATCCACAAGTTCGTGGGATTCCACTTCGGCGATGAAGCCCGAGACGATGTTTCAGGAGTATTTGTTGGGGTATGATTTATAGCCGCACGGCTGAGGATATACCATCAGTGGATACCCCTCACATAAATGTCAAGATTAATGTTTTAAACATGTGTGAACAATAATGTACTTTGTCCCTCTCTCTCTCCCTCTCTATCCATCTGTCTATCTGATTGGGTTGTACTATGTAGATGACCGGCTAGGAATTCTCACATTTCAGGTATCCCACCTACATAAAGATAAATTACCCATTACATTGTAACAGATACATATAGATACTTAAAGACCTGTTCGGGTACGTGTAGGATGTGTGATGCAACTGCATAGGATCGGGAATCTTGATGGTACGAAGAGCCAGCTTAGAGAGGAAGAGCGAGAGAGAGAGAGAGAGATGAAGGAGGCGGTCATTGGATCCAGACATGGCAAGAAAATAAGGCAACATTTTATTTGCTAGACCCTACCGAATTCCAGATATAACCAAACTGGGCTTATTTTTCACCCCGAGGTTGATGTTAAGGTCCAAACCCGAGAAAAAACTAGGCCACTAGGTGGGAAAATTACGCCACTGGTTGTGCTGGCATATTAAGGCCAAGATTAAAAAAAAAAGAAATATATTGCGGCATTTTTTGTTCATGATACGGTAACAGGTTAGAAAGAACAGATTGGCCTAAAGGAAAGGGGGGGGCGATGTGACGACTTTTCATCTTCCGCTTGTCGTTCAAAAACTTCACAGGTTGTCGGTAGGAAGCAAGCCCCAGTCCCGAGTTAGTTGAGAAAGAGAGAGAGAGAGAGGAGCAGAAAGCAGCGAAGGTCTTCAGAGGCTTCGTTTTCTCCTTGTAATCTTCGCAGTTCTACGTACTTTAGTCACCATCGAAACCCATTTCGGCAGTTGAGGAAGTCTTCGCCTCGTCCCCACTGATTCTCTCATCATGCCAACTTGATAAATCTTCCATGACGCCTCCGGCTCCGAAGAGCTGCCGTATCATCACTTCAGAATACTCGACAAGCTTCTGCAGAACTGCCCAGTTGAGCCAGGAGCAAGGCGATGAGTTCGTTCCTTCAATCCGTAACAGCATATTAACTGTAGAGCATGGGACTTCTCAATACCTCTTTGTAGGATCTGATCTCCCCAGTAGAGCTGGACCTGGATACCTCAATCATGCAGTGGGTAGGCGTCACCTCGATCACCTGTAAGTGTAAATTGTCGAGAAACGAGATGGATCGTCGTTTCTTTGGGGAGACACTATATATACACCTCTGCAGATACTGTGTTCTGAGATATGGACCTCGTCAGTTTCTGAGGAGCATGGAGCTTGACCTGCGTTTCTCAGGAAGGCGGCGATTGTTCATTCTTTGAAAGAAACGAGTGATAAAATCTGTGTAGTCTTAGATGGTCTGTGTGAGTTAGAAGCCTGGATGCCCTATCAGTTTTTCTCGAGACTTACAGCCTACGAAGAAAATATGATTGATCCGGTCCTTTTGTGGACTGTATCCAGAACTTGACATGATCCAGCCTAGAACTCTACAGTTGGTTTTCTCACTTGCAAGTTCTACAGTCACTGATTTTGTATCTCTCTTCTCTTTCTCTCTCTCTCTCTCCCACTCTTCCCATGAGGAGCTAAATACAAAGAGCTAAGTCATGCACATTTGGGTCTTCATGGAGAACAGGTGCAGATCTAATACGCTGGGCATTTTTTGGTATCTGAGCTTTGTAGAAGATGGGGCTGGATAGAGGGATCTCAAGGCCCAGGCCCAGTTGGCCCGTTGACGCACTTATACATTTTATAAACTATTTGGGTAACTATAAATCAAAAGGTTACTCAAATAATATAATAAAAAAACCTGTCATCGATTGATTTCAAATCAGTAATACTTTTCGTGAAGCAAACCTATGTTTCTCAATAGCTACTTTTCTACGATAAAATATAGACCAAAAAGGGTGACGGCGAGTGTGACAAGTATCAATTTCTCGACTAGAGAGATGATCTTCTCCTACCTTTGAGCTGTTCGTCCTTTCCACGGAGAGGCTGGCATCCTTGGCTGCGACCTCAATCTTCTCTATTGTCTCGGTCATGGGGTGCCTTGAACCAAGCTTCGTCTTCTATTCCTCGTGGAAGAAGACGGCGAGCCCACACGTTAGTGAATGGAGCAAAAAGGGGCGCGGAGGAAACGAGCCGAGGATCCTGCAATCACCTGCTCTTCGAGGAGGCCTGATAAGTCAAGATGATTGGACATGGCTATGAGTTGGAAAGCGTTGACGAAACGGGGTGACTGGATTTTCCTCGTCTCTTCTGTTTTGAGCGTCTCCTGTCCAGTATTCTCCCCAGGTCTTCATTTTGGAATTGACGGTCAAGATTTGGGGTGGTTTTAGTGAAGCTTCTTGAAGATACTCCAATCCTATGGAATGCCTGGTAGACGTCTTCCAAACTCGCCTTCTCGTTTGTGATCGCCTCCGCCGGCTCGTAATCGATTCGAAACCACCCATCTTCGAGAATCTCGTCGACCTATGCCATCTATACAATATCGCGAGAAGAAAGTTATTGTCTGACGCAGGAGGAGATCCTAATTTGACGTGGTAGAAGTCAATATCAGTCCAGGATGAATATTTTATCAATTCACATGTGGTTCATAATACCAGGGATTTATTCTCCGAGTTCTTTTTTTCATCTAGAAGAGTTAGAACGGAAGGCAAGCACCGCCACACAATGAGCAGCCACCTGCCGGCTTCCTTATGAGCCGCAATGAAGGATCTCCAATTAGGTTTCGTTTGTGGCTAGCGGAGTTGGTTAGGTTGCACCACCTCACCACGTCGCGGCTGGTGGTTAACTGCTTCGTTCATGAAACGCCGCAAGTGAACATCTGACCCCATTTCCTCCACATGTCAGATATTTGGGGATTTTTCTCTCTGTAGGATGCTTATATATATATATATAAGCAAATATATATATATATATATATATAAATAAGACCCGAATATTCATTGAATCCCAGTTTATTTAGTGAATAGAAGGCCGCCACGAATCCGGCAACTAGACCGTAGAAACTAGCCTACACTTGCAGCCCATCAGGAAGTGGAGATTATCGCTACGAGGGCGCGGAGGTTCTCCGACGAGCTGCCGCCGGGCTGAACCTGCTGGAGCGCCACCGCCCTCAGGGCGCATGCCCTCTCCTTCATCTTCTTCCCCTCCGCTGTCCTGAGGACGACGTGGAGAGCCTTGGCGACCTCGTCCTTGGTCATTGTCTTCTCTGGGAAGGCCACTCCGATCTTCCACGTGTGTGAGATGGACCGCGAGTTGATGTGCTGGTCGCCCAGGAAGGGACGGCACACCATGGGAACGCCGCCGACGAGGCTTTCCAGCACGGAGTTCCACCCACAGTGGGTCACGAAGACCCCGACGGCGGGATGCTCAAGGACGCGCGCCTGAGGGGTCCACGTCGCTACCAACCCCCGGTCGGCCGTCCGGGCGAGGAAACCGGCCGGCAAAAGCGGCCAGAACTTCTTTTTCAGCGACCACAGGAAGGGGGCTCCGCTGGCTTCGAGCCCCTCGGCCAGCTCCGCTAGCTCCGCTGACGGAGGGGTCATCAGGGTGCCGAAGCCGATGTATACCGCCTCGCCGTGGGCCTGACGGTCCAACCACTCCAGGCAGCCGGTGGAGTCGGGCCGCGACGGAGGGGGGCATAGGAGGTTGAGCGGTCCCAGAGGGAGACATCTTTTGAACTTGGCGTGGAAGTCGATGAGCACGGCGGGGTCGAGACCTTCGAAGGTGTTGATCGCTAGCGCCGAAGCGCGTGGCAGCTCGAGGCCCATTCTGTGGAGGAGGCGGGCGAAGACAGAGTTGAGATTGCCGGAGACGACTCCCTCCGGCAAGTCGCAGAGGCGCATGCCGGCCATCCCGGGGAGGAAGCCGAGTTCATCGTCAACCTTGGATTCCACATCAGAGGCTCCCTTCTCTCCGGCGCTGACGGTTTCGCGGAGCAAGTCAGTGTAGAGATGGACCGACAAGCTCCGGGAACCTCCGGTCCACAGCCCCACCCACGGGACCGCCGCCCCGAGCTCCGCCGCCAGGTCCCCGGCAAACCAGAGGAAGCAGTCGCTTATCACGCAGCTTATCGTCGCCCCGCCAGTACGACGGACCGCGTCCTCCATCCCCTTTCGGAAGTTTCCGGGGGTGACACGCATGAAGTTATCGATTTCCTCTTCTGGGCTCCTGGGATCGAAGGCGAAGTCTGCCGGAGCCCCGTCGTCCACGTCGTAGAACTTCAGGTTTGGTGGCGCAGAGTCGACGGCGGCGGGGGTGGCGTTGGACTTGGCGGAGTTGACGAAGGAGAAGGCGACGTGAGGGGCCGCGGAGGCGAGTCCGCAGGCGAGATTGTGGAGGGGCGCGGCGTGGGTTCCGAAGGGGAAGGCGAGCACGGCCACGTGCGGCTGCTGCCCCTTTACTCCGTTGTGAGCCGCCATGAAGGACCGCGAGCGAGGTTCCCTACTCTGGCTGGCGGAGTTGGGTTGATCGTGAAGGAGTCACTCCCGGAGGACCTTTTATTGGGTTTCACCCTTGACCACCTGCCAGCGACCGGCTGTTGGTTCAATTTATTGATTGCTGAAAGGGCGACCCCCACTTCCCCAAGTTTTATATGTGGGGAAACGTACGCCACTGGTTGTCCTGGCATATTAATGGAAAGAAAACAAAAATGTTAGAAAGAAGTTATCCGATAGAGCGTCGCAGTTTTCCTGAATCACCCCGTTAGTCAATAGCATGAACGCAGGAAAGGAATATATTGCGTCTAAAATATTATCTTCCATATCAAGTGCAATCGTGTCTAATCAATAAAATAAATTCAGTTTGTCAAATAAAAAGGAAATTGAAGAAACTATTACATAGACCAAGATAAGTTATTGGCTTGGCAGTGCCATGCCAAAGTTGTGATCGTGTCAATCCAAATCACCTTTCAGATCTTTTCTGAAGTGTTGTTAATGACCTTAAGGTCTTATAAACTATGCTATATTGAGAAATTTGGCATTTTCAATTATTATTTTGATGTAATATCCTATGAATGAAACCAAAATTCGAGAATAAATTTAGAAGCCACAAATTGAATTGGAAATGATCAAGTGATGTTGATCCATGAATTCAGTCAACATTTAGACCTGAAATTTATCTTGTGGGAAATTATTTTTGGGCATAGTGTATTTTTGGTCATGATAATCAGGTAACATGTTAGAAAGAAGAGATTGGCCTAAAGGGAGGGGGAATGTGACTGTCTAAGCTGCCCTAGCTCATTGGTCGCCAAAGGAGCTGCTGCTAGTTGAGAGAGAGAGAGAGAGAGAGGAAGGGATGAAATGAAAAGTTATACTAAAATTTAGAAATTAATACAAGTTTTTATAGGGGTCCTAATGAAGTGGATCAGATTCAGGGCTTCACTTTTTTTTTTTTTTTTTTAATGAAGAAATTTGATTGAGTGATAAAAGTTTGACCTCATTCTGAGGTTACATAAGTGGGACCTGATTCGCACAAGGGGCATGGATGACATGGAGGGTGAAAGACCTCTTTTTTTTAGAGGGTATGTGATAATACTGGAGATAGACTCCAGTTCGCTCATCATATTTGAAGAAGCCGGTTGGTCTACATTTGGGCTGAAAGAGCCTTTGAGTTCATGAAGTTGGAATATCTGGTCGACTGTAGTAAGATGTGTAAACCTCCATGTTGTGCATCATGAGGTGTTCCTACAAGACAAGAATTTGCTGCAGTAAGTGGTTCTAAGAAATAAATAAAATGATATAAAGTGGTGAGAAAAGAGTTGTTAAGATAGTGAGGAAGATAGAACTATGCTGGAGTATGACAATAAGCCCAAATATGAATTTGCCTTCCTAGTGTTGCACGCGTCTAATCCCTCTGGCCAAGATCTTGTTAGTACCATCAGTTGCCGTACTTCCTCTAAGTAGGTAAGGGACGTTTCACCCCACGAGGAATGACTTGGTCTCTTTTTCTAACTCTTTTCCTTTTCTCTTATTCTCTCTCTCTTCTTTCTCTCTCTTTTTTTTTTTTTTTTTTTTTCAGGGTAGTAAGTGGAAGAAATAAGGGTGAAAATACAATACAATGAGAGATATAAATACAATTAAAATAAATAATATATACTTCTACAATCTCTCATATATTGACATTCTCACTCAAGGTAGTAAGTGGATGTTGCCAAATCGAAGCTTGGATATGAGTCCCTGAAATGTTGACCCATTTAATCCTTTGGTGAGAATGTCTGCCAACTACCTATGAATTGAAATGTGGAATGAAAATGTTGTTATCTAGTTTCTATTTTGATGAAGTGTCAACCAATCTCAATATGTTTGGTCCATTCATATTATATTGGATTGTGCATGGTAGTTAACACTTATTTGTTAGCACATTATAGCTTGATTGGATCATGCCACTTAATTCTCAGGTCTTATAAAATATATCTCACCCACAATACTTTGCCCTCAATTTTTCCACCACTTATTGTTTCTTGCTCTACCTTATGATAACATAATTTTCAAAAAGAGTTAAATAGTCTAGTTTTGACCTTCCTTCAATAATAGAATGTGCATATTTTCATTTTTCTTTAATATAATTATTTTACTAGATGTATGCTTGAAATATTATAAAATATTATTGATCAGTATAAGATGGATTTCTGTCAAGTCATACATAAATTTACTAAGGCCTCCCATTTAATATACGATGTTTGGTAAAGTGTAAGCAAGGTAAATGAATTTACATGAGATGTTGATACATTAATTTATTTACAAGGCTACTCTTTTCTACATTCCCAAATTTATGATTCAAAGATATATGTGCACCTATAGATTTACATCCTAATTTTGAAATAACATTTAGGACAGAGTCTTATTTTTATGACATGTTTTTGTTCATATATGAATATGTCTTATTCTTATTAGATCGCCAATAACATGATACTTAGTTAATGAAAACAAATTATAAAGTCAATGAAAAGATCAAATTATATCCAATCTTGAATATACTTTATATGAAGCTAACTATAACATTATTTAATAATAATTTTAAGAGAGTTGTTAAACATTCATTATCCATGATACTGAGTTTATTTCAGCAAGTGAATTATTATTTTATATGTCACTGTGGACATTACAAACATTTACAAAACCCACCGCACTCATAAAAAAAGTGACTAGGACACTCAAATTAGTGAGAATTTATGAAGAAAAATATGGATATGAAACTTTACTTAGTCTATAATATACTTATAGTATTACATAATTAGTTTCAAAAGATTTTGATATTGAATTCATTGACTGAATTTAGATAGCTTGTTGTGCTACACAATCTTTTAAATATATACAGAAAATATATTTAAATATTTTCATTCATCAAAAAGTTACTTGACGATGGTATTTTGCTTTATTATAAATATTAGACTCATGATTCAAGATGCTTATTAATGATGGTATTTTATTTGGATAATTCACACGAGACTTAACTGCAAAATTATCATTTTATTTACATATTTATTGTCGGCTTTGTTTTAATATTGCTAGATCATTTATCATGTTGGGTTCAATGTGGCTAAATTGAAGACTCAAAGCTAGAGTGAATTAGTTTTCGACAGTTTATGTTATATTCTTTTGTTATGTCTATGTGTACATGTGTCAACAGAAGTTCTCACACTAATTTTATATTATGTGTATAATTTTTTCTAATTTAATCTTCCTTTCTATGTAAGTTAACTCTAGACTCTCTCTCTCACATGACATCATGAGACTTGTAGGAGTTTTTATTAGTTTGTTCTACACTAGGCTACGTTTTATCTTAGAAGATCTTTCTTAGCAAAGTTCATTATTTTCTTTTAAAAATATAATTGACTTCATAGGATTAGTGGCTCAAACATTTATACCTGATTTTCATAAAGATCACACCCCTCACAGGTAGAATTTGACTCTTAACATTACATGTCTAAGTCAAGTGCACTAGTCTTAACATTTACCTTAGGGCTTGATGAAGAGAGGCAACTTTTAATACAATAGTTGACTTGAATCACCATAGTCATATGAACAAAATGATGACTTTTAAATCTTTTTTTGAAGCATGCAGTCATTTCTCTTTGATAGATGGAATATAAGCTTCTCTCAAGCTTGGGATGAGAAAGATTCCATCATTCTGAATTAGTTTATAAACTTGTTTCTCATATGTTTCAATGTCTCATTGTCTTTTCAGCACTTGATGCTAGTCACACAAATTCAATTTTTTGCTGCTTCATCAACATGCTAATGATCTTCAACTGTTCTTCAATTTGAAGCTTTCCATTCTCATATAGGTTGTCATTGATATTTCACCTGTAGATACGTAGGAGATCGGCATACATTTTTGCTTTTAAAGTCTAACTCAAATGTAGTTATTGAGCTCGTCATTTTTTTTGTTGATATGTTATCATTTAGAATTCATGCTATTGACCTTCGGTCATTGTCAATCAAAACTTTCTGTACCCAAGTAAGTTGTCTTTGAGATTATGTCCAGAGATGCATAGTAAATCGACAAATATCTTTATCTTCAAGATTGAGCTCAAATACAATCATTGAGCTTGTCAATTTATCTATGTACTACGCCAATGTGCTACCTTCTAAGTTGTGTGTAGCTAACCATTGGTTGTTCTTCATTTCAAGATTTTTAATTCTTTCATAGATCATATTGAAGTTTTTGTTTGGAGATATGTGATACTTAAATAGTTATTTCTACTTTTGAGGTTAAGTCAAAGTATGTCATTTTGCTTTGTCATATGTATGGTACCAACATGTTACCAGCCAAAGTACATAGCAAATACTTCTCTACTTCCATGAGTACTTCATGCAAACACTTCAACTAAGTCATTGTGTAAGTCTTGAGTTAGATTCATGATTAGGACACTCAAACAAGTGAGAATTTATAAAGAAAATATGGATATAAAAGTTTACTTATTCTATCATGTACTTATACTATTACATCATGAGTTTTAAAATGTTTTCGATATTGAATTCATTGATTGAATTTAGATAGCTTGTTCTAGTGCACATAACTTTCTAAATATATACTGAAAAATGATTTAAATCTTTTCAATCTTCAAAAAGTTAATTGATGGTGGTATTTTCCTTTGTTATAAATATTAGACTCATTATGAAAGATGTTTCATAATGGTGGTATTTTATTTGAGATAATTCACATGAGATTTGATTGTAAAATTATCATTTTATTTACAGATATATTAACAACTTTGTTTTAAAATTGTTAGATCTTTTATTGTATTGAGTTCAATGTAGCTAAATGAAATACTAAGAGGAGGGTTGACGTGCATTTGTCGCTGTGTTTAAATACACATTATCTAATAATATTTATAACTAAGACTTAATAAAATAGTAGTATAAAAGTACGTCTCTAGACGAACATAGGAAGATTGATTAATCTGTCATGAAAACTAATTTAATTTATATAAAAAGTGATTATAATTTTTTATTAATATTTAACAAAAATAATAAAATAGAAGGGTGAAGTGAGAAGAATAAAAGAAGGGAAGTGGAGAAAGGAAGGAGGAAAAGAGAGAGAGAAGAGAGTTCTCACGAAGGAATAGAGAAGAGATTTCTTGCAAAAGAGAGAGACAAAGAGAGGAGGAGAGAAATCTCACATGAGGTGGAGAGAGAGAAAGGTCTCACAAGAGAAAGAGAAGGAGAGAAAAGGAGAGACAAGGAGATCAATCTAGAGAGAGGGAGAGAAAGAAAGAGATTGATATAATTTAATTAAAGTTTCAAAAATAATGGAAATTTCCTAGGTTGATCACAAGGATGTAATACACTATTAAGTAATATTTCAAAAAAAATTTCAAAGAAAATTTTTATGAATTTTAGACTAAGAAATAAAAAATAAAATATATTTAAAATTCATGAAAAAAAAGAAATAAGGGTGCAGACATCAAGATGACATTCGTACCCGACAAATGCAAACTGGATGAAAATAGAGTTCTACCTAGTGATTCCTATGTAACTGATTACAGATGATTTAATTGGTCAAATTAAGATCTGTAAAAATTAGAAGAATCGTAATTGAATGAAAAATAGTTTGGAAAATTTAAATCACATAAATTATCTCTAAATGAAAAAAAAAAATAAGTTGAAAGTAGAAAAAATAGAGTTCTAATATTATGACGACAGTGCGTCGACGATGCACTAGAATCTTAAGAGTTCAAGAGGATTGTCGTGTAGTGTCAACGATCTTGAAAGCTCTCCTTGGAGAAGGACGATTTGGACAATCTCTAGATCTTCTTGCAAATAATGAATAATGGCTGCCTTCCTAAACAACATACCTCAAGGTACATGCTCCTCAAAAACTGATGAGGTCCATATCTCAACACATGGTATATGTCGAGGTATATATAGTGTTTCCCCAAAGAAACGACGATCCATCTTGTTTCTTGACAATTCACACATCCATGTGATCGAGGTGACGCCAACCCACTACATGATGGAGATATCCAAATTCAACTTTATTAGGGATATCACATCCTTCAAAGAGGTAATGGAGAAGTCCCATGCTCTATAGTTAATATGTTGTTATGGATTGATGGAATGAACTCATCACCTTGCTCTTGGCTCCACTAGGCAGCTCTATAGAAGCTTGTCCAGTATTCTGAAGGGATGATACGGTAGAGGCATCATGGAAAATTCATCAAATTGGCTGGATGAGAGAATTAGTGGGGACAAGGTGAAGATTTCCTCAATGGCCAAATGGGTTTCGATGGAAACTAAAGTAGAACTGCAAATATTACTAGGAGGAAAACAAAGCCTCTAGAGAACTTCACTACTTTTTCACTTCTCTCTCTCTCTCTTTCTCAACTAACTCGGTATTGGGGCTTGTTTCCCACTAACAACCTATGAAGTTTTTGAACGACAAGCAGAAGATGAAAAGTCGTCACATTCCCCCCCCTCCCCTCCCTTTAGGTCAATCTGTTCTTTCTAACCTATTACCCATTTATCATGAACAAAAAATGTTGTAGTATTTTCTTTCCTCCATTTGTGTTCTTGTCTGACAAAGATTTAGGACAACTACAATGCTCTATGAGATACTTCTTTCTATCATTTTTTTTAATCTTTGCCTTAATGTTGGTGAGCACTTGTCGTTGTGTTTAAATGCATACTATCTAATAATATTTATAACTAAGACTTAATAAAATACCAGTATAGAAGTAAGTCTCAGATCGAACATAGAGAGATTGATTAATCTGTTGTGAAAACTAATTTAATTTATATATAAAGTGATTTAAATATTTTATTAATATTTAATGGAAATAATAAAATAGAATGGTGAGGTGAGAAGAATAAAGGAAGGAAAATGGACAAAAGGAAAGAGGGAAAGAGAGAGAAGAAAAGGAGAAGAAAGAGCTCTCACGAAAGAGAAGGGATGAGATCTCTCACAAAAGGGAGAGAAAGTGAGAGGAGGAGAGAAAGCTCTCACGACAAAGAGAAGGGATGAGATCTCTCATGAAAGAGAAGAGATAAGATGAGAATGAAAAAAGAGAGAAATACAGTCAATCTATTTTCTCAGACAAATATGTGCTCAAAGGATTCACACACATGACATGAGGTCGGTCTTGAATGTCTCCAGCTGATTTTAATCTTTGAATGCTCATTAATCAGCCTTTCATCTTGGTGATTTTGTGTTCAAAAATAAAAAAATACTCGTTATTTACAGAATCTCTAGAATGTGAATACGTTGAGATTCCATTGCAAACTCAATAAAAAATAAATTGAAAATGATCTTAGCTTGATCTCAGACAAGTTTCAGATGATTTAGAAAAAGAACGAAGATCATTCATCAAGTTTTGAATAATTCTACTCATTTCAATCAAAACGTACATGAAATAGAAAGAACTTGCCATAAAATGTAAATAAATGATAAAAGTAGGTAAGTAAATACTGAAAATAGGAAATAAATTGTTGCCTAAGTTTAGTTTGCTTCTTGGGCAACTGGAGACACTTGGGTGACAACTTGATTTTGTCTGAACATGCCACACCACGCCGGAAGTCGTAGAAATATTGTTCGGAAGCACTACATTGCTTGTCAGAGAGATCTGCCAAAAGAGGGATCGACCACGTTGTCACCATCGTCTGGGAGGAGGACGAAAAGAGCTGACCACTCGTCGAAGGCCTTGAGTGTAGTCAGGGGAGGAAGGAAGAACCTTGCGGATCATTAAAGATGTTGATCATGTAAAAGAAGGGAAGAACAGATTACATATTTGTGACTGCCGTCAAGATTTTAAAGATAATTGATAATATCTATTTTACTAGACAATAGCTGATGGTGATATGTGTGAAGACTTAAGTTCCTAATATCGTGGCACTTTGACATCCACTGAATCAGATGAGCTTGGTATGTGGTGTGCTAAGCGATGTAGGATCAACCCGCCACAAACCACTACCGATCGAGAACTTAAGTTCTGATACCGTGGTGCCTCCACAATTGTCAGATCATCCTTTAAGGCCATGGGCATATTGAGCGGTGTCAGATTTGCAAACTGTCGATGGATCACTTTACACATCTAGTATCGTGGTGATTTGTTAGTCGCCAGATCAGGCTAATTAGATGACGTGGCTCTCTGCATATTGCTAGATCACACTAAACTCTAGATGGCTATGCTAAAATTGATGAAAACGTTTAGTCGCACATCGAAAATAATTCAGACGCATATGTTGAACATAAACTAAAGCTACGGTCTCTCAATAGAGATCCCTTCTTCCGAAATAAAATAATGCCCAAGACCATCTTGGGAGAAGGCAATAATGTGGTCCGCTCTCGCGTGCACATTTGTGTACGAGCGCTCCTTGCCCCATGATCAGTTGGCCACGAGGACATGGAAGAGGAGTGACACACACATGCATAGAGCGAGGCCTTCACCACTTGAGTCCAGCTTGTGGCTCCCCCAATCTGGGTCTACCCACTCAACTATTGTCCCCCCACGCGGTCAACTACCGAGTGCTGGCTTACTAGCAGGCAGAAGAATTTTTTCTATTTTATTATTTTATTTTAATAAGAAAAAATTATGCTAAGTATTTTAACTTCAAACTTTTAAGATTAATAATATATCCTATACTTATTCTGAAAGTTAACAAAATAAAATCAAATAATAAAACTAATTAAAACACATAAATCTAGCTTTAACATGGGGGAAATGGGGTTGATGTTCACTTGTGATAATTCCCCCTACTAATCAATGAACCACAAGGGTTAGCACGTGTTGAGCTAGTGACCTCTACTAATGGGACTGACTCCTTCCCCAATCCACTGCCCTCTACCAGCCAGAGTAGGAGCCTCACTCGCGATCATTCATGGAGGCTGGTGATGAAGTAAAGGGCAGCAGCCGCATGTGGCCAGGTTTGCCTTCCCATTTGGAACCCATGCAACCCCCCTCCACACTCTCAATTGTCGCTTCCTCTTTCCTCATCTCTGCCAAGTCCAATGCTACCCTCACCATAGTCAACTATGCTCCACTGCCAAACAAGACTCTGGTAGACTTCGTCATCAATCTGTTGAGACCTTGACAACACAAATGAGCTCACAAAAAAAGAGGTCCCAAAGAAGTTGGCCCAGCCTATTAACAAAGTAAGGCAAATATGAGTCAAACACCAAAAGGGACAACTTCATGTGGGAGCCTACAGAACAAGAGGCATGTGCAGCAAATGGATTTTGGTAGAGAAAACAAGACAGCGGTAGGACCTAACACCGACAACAATGGAGCATGGCAAGTCTCAAATCCCATCAGATCTAATTGCTAGACAAGAGGCGGTTGTTGAGATGTGCAAACTATAGCTATAAAGAAGAGTTTTGGTTATTTTGTATCAATGTCATGTATCGGTAGTTGCCATCTCATATCGGTGACCCCACAACTTGAGAGGTCTTAGTAATTTTGTATTCCCGCTTTCTGTATCCCATATCTCTTGTCAAGTGGTCTTTCTCTCTCCTCTCGATACTTGGTCTTCTGGTAGTAGCCATTTGGAGTCTTGGTGCTCAAAAGTTTTATATGAGATAGGTTTATCTATTGAATCAACTCGAGTGTTGATGTCTTAGTTAAAGGGTCATTGATAAGTCTTTATTATCATGAGTTAATAATTAGTAAATAATATAGTTTTAGCCTTAACTTATGATAAATAGACTTATATTTATGTTAAATTGTGAAAAGTAGTTTTCAATTGATTATGTGAATTTTTGGTTAATTATGAGATTTCTAAGAAATTATATAATTTTTATAGTCTTATTTTTGAGATAAATAAATAAAAAATTTAAAATAAAAATATAATAAAAGAAAGTTATATTTTAATATCTAAACTACCCCTTAGTTATAATAGAGATATACCATGATGATGTCACTTGATAAAGGTATTAGAGTATTTATTTCAATCTCTCTCATGTAGATGAGCAACCGACATGGATCTGAATCCTCTTAGAGCCAAAACTCATATTTTTATCTGATTATTGTGACTTTCTTATAGATCATCAGTGAAAGATTAAGCCACCAAAATTGATGAATCACCGACAAGAAGAACAAAAAGAAGTAAAACAAGGACTAGAACATATTAAAAGAAAGTAATAATTATTAAAAAATTTATTTAATTTTTTTAATTTTTATGCATGGTAGAAGATTCTTACATCTAAGGGTAAAAAATTCTTTCATTATTTCATTCAAAACTAAAATTCTAAAAGAAAAATTAATTTTGATGGATCTTGAAGGAAGTACAAATCAAACTGAGAACAATTCTATAGCCATGAAAATCATTATATCCTTGATTCATTTTAAAGAGCATCCAATATTAGAGTCTCATTAGCACCCATTGTTAAATTCAAAATAAATCTAGAAAATTTTCAAGTGCTCCCTAATTTTCATAGATTGCCTTTAGAGAAATCTCATCATTATTTTTAAAAAATTCATATGATTTGTAATTTAGTTAATATCTCTCAAGTTACACTGGAAATTATTAAGATGAAATTATTTACTCATACACTTAGGGACAAAGCTAATCATTGGCTATCCATATTAGATAGAAAATTAACTAGCTAGAAATATATAGAACAGACTTTTCTTCGAAAATTTTATCCCTTAGGAAAAACTCAAAATACAAGAAAACGTATATAGAGTTTTTCTCAAAGATTAGGAGAAACTTTACATGAGACATAGGAAAAATTTAAAGATTTACTTAGAAAGTGTCCTCATTATGTTATACCTAAGTGAGAGGTCAATAGAATTTTTATGATAGATTATTAGAACAACATAGAAATATGGTTGATTCTACATATGGCGAAACTTTCACGAAGAAAACCCCTAATGAGATTTACAATCTTTATGAGAATTTAAGTGAAAATTCTAGAGATCAAGCCTCTTTTGAATTATATGATAGTGATAAGAAGAGAGAAATTTATGAGTTGCATCATCAAAATGATTCTAATTTATGAAATGAGGTTAATCAGATTAATTAAAGATTAGAAAAACTTAATTTACTTATTGAAAATATTAAAAAGCCTCTTAACTTTTAATTTTATTCAAATAGTACATGTCTTATGTATGGTGAAAATGATTATTCTAAATTTCAATGCTATAATTGAGATCAATCATTTCACCTTATGCAAGAACAAGTGCAAGTAACTCACGGTTTTAATAGAAATAGGGAGCCTTTTTTTAATTCTTATAATCCTAATTAGAGGAATAATTTTTCATAGAGAGATCTAAATAATATTCAAAATTCAGAAGCACTTAGGTTCAATTCAAATTCCAAATTTTGTTCAAAATAGAAAAATAGATTTTAGAAAATCAGCCCTCTCAAATCTAACTTGATGTTATAGAAATGATTGAGCAAATGAGCTAAATGATGTAATAAACTATGAATCAAATGATGTTGTAGTAGAAAAAAATTATAGAGGTTCTTAAGAATAAGAGAGAAGAGGGACAACTACCTAGTCAGCTCATAGAAAATCTAGGGAACCGCCCAACAATAGGATTTCAGCAAGGGGAGTCTAATAGTATGAATCTAAGAAAAAAACCCTCAAAATGAAAATGTTAGGATAATGAATGCATTAAGGAGTGAGAAGATTTTACATAATCCTTATCCCCAAACATTAGAAGAAAAGAAAAATGTGGACAATCTAAAATAAAATCAAATATGAAATTCTAAAAGAGAGGACAACTATTTTATTTCTTAAGGCTGTAGAGTCTAGACAAAGAAAGGAAAAGGAACACAATGAGAAAATAAATAAAATTTTATAAGATATGCAAACTAGTCTTCCTTTACTCACTGCCATTAAACATATTCCTAAATATGCTAAAGTTTTGAAAGAAGTGTGTACACCAAAAAAGGCACCTAGAGTAGAAAAGTTATTTATGCATGCTAGTGCTTTATTATTAAATCAATTACCATATAAATTGAGAGATACTAGTGCCCCTTTAATTTTGTGTGATATCAATGGATTCATTTTTCAAAATACATTACTTTACACTAGTGCTAGTATTAATTTATTACCTAAAAGTATTTGTGATAAATTTAATATTACTAATCTTAAACCTTCTACTATTGTGTTATAATTTATTGATAGATCCATAAAACATTCTAAAGATATTTTAAAAAATGTGATAATGAAAGTTAAAGGGTATAAATTTCTAATTGATTTCATAGTGCTAGAAATGAATTTTAATGGATAATTTTATGATACACCAATCATCCTATGGAGACAATTTTTGTATAGAACAAAGATGAATATTGATTTTCTCATAGATATTGTGAAAATTTTATGTGGAGATCAATCAATAGAAATTAAAAATTTTGATGTATCAAATGATCTTAAGAAATCCCAAGTATATGATTGTCATATCATAGATCTTTTAGATGCTTTTGATAATCCAGATGTTACTGATGATTGTGTGTTGGAAGAATTAGAAAAATAGAGAATATAAATTTAGGAGAAAAGAAAGAGGAAGATCATTTGAATTTAAAGTTAGAACCTCTTCCCTCTAGTTTAAAATATATATTTTTAGAGGAAAATAATTAATTTCTTGTTATTATTGTAGCTGATTTGAGTGATGAATAAGAAGAAAAATTATTAGATATACTTCAAAAAAATAAGAAGTCTATTGACTGAAAAATAGATGATCTTAGGGACATTGATATGAATGTATGCATGTATAATATATATCTAGAGGAGGGGGCTAGAACTAGGAGGGAATCATAATGAAGATTAAATGCTAACATGATAGCAAATCAGTTAATCCTATACAAGTGGTGCCAAAAATATCAAGGATCACAGTTATAAAAAACAAAAATAGGGATGAAATAAAAACAAGATTAACTACTAGTTGGAGGGTTTACATTGATTATAGAAAATTAAATTTAGTTACTAGAAAAGATAATTTTCTACTACCATTTACTAATCAAATTCTAGAAAAATTAGCTAGAAAAAACTTATTTTGTTTTTTAGATGGATATTCTGGTTATAATCAAATTTATATAAACCCTTTAGATTAAGAAAAAACAACTTTCACTTGTCTATTTGGTACTTTTGCTTTTAAACACATGCCTTTTGGTTTGTGTAATGCTCTAGTCACATTTCAAAGATGTATGCTATCTATTTTTTCTAATATGACTGAAAAATACATGGAAATTTTTAGGGACGATTTTTTTATTTTTGGTGAATCATTTGATGATAGCTTAAATTATTTATAACATGTACTTGAGAAATGTATAACAAAACAATTAGTTTTGAATTAGAAGAAATCACATTTTATGATTAGAGAGGGAGTTGTGTTGGGTCATATTGTGAGTAAAAGGAGTTTAGAAGTGGATAGAGCAAAAAATGATATTATATCTTAAATGAAACCTCTAAATTCAGTAAAACAGATTAGATCTTTCTTGGGTCATGCAAGTTATTATAGAAAATTTATTCAATTTTTTTTGAAAATTTCTAAACCTCTCACCATGTTATTATCTAAAGATGTGCCTTTTAATTTTGATGAGAAACATTTTAAGTCTTTTTTTAAAATAAAAAGATTACTTACTAAGGCACCTATTTTACAAGCTCTTGATTGATCCCTTCCATTTGAAATAATGTGTGATGTATCGAATTATATAGTGGGAATTATTATAGGACAAAGAAAAGAATCAAAACCCATAGTAATTTCATATATTAATAAAACTATGTCTGATGCTTACTTAAATTATACTACGACTAAAAAAGAGTTGTTAGCTGTAGTATTTTTTTAGAAAGATTTAGATCATATATTTTGGGAGCTAAAATTATTATTTATACTGATCATATAGTATTAAAATATTTTTTAAATAGAAAAGATATAAAACCACTTTTATTAAGATAGATTTTATTGTTGCAAGAATTTGACTTAGAAATAAAAGATAAAAAAGGTTTCGAGAATGTTATTGTTGACCATCTTTCTAGATTGAGTGATACAAGAATAAATATAGCACCTTTATAAGATGCATTTCTAGATAAACAATTGATAGTAGCTCAACATCAACCGTCACCATGGTATGCACATATTGTTAATTTTCTAGTTTCTAGAAAAATTTCAAAATAGTTAGATAAGAATAGAAAACATCATTTCTTTTCTAAGGTTAGAAATTATTTTTTATATGATCTGATTTATATTACTTGGACAATGATCAAATTTTAAGAAGACGTGTTCTTAAAGAAGAATATCATAGCATTCTTAACATATGCCATTCATTTAACTGTGGAGGACATTTCTCTAGATAAAAAAAAATTATAAAAAAATTTCAGTATGGTTTTTATTGTACTACAATCATTAGAGATTCTATGGAATTTAGTAGAACATGTATTTCATGCCAATCTATAAGTAACATGAGTAAAAAAAATGAAATGTTCATGAGTAAATGCTAGTAGTCGAAAATTTTGATATATAAGGAATAGATTTCATGGGTCTTTTTCTATCAGCTGAAAATTATGAATATATTTTTCTTGCTGTTGATTGTGTCTCAGTGGGTTAAAGTTATTCCTACTAGAACTAATGATCATAAAATCGTGATGAAATTTTTGTAGAAAAATATCGTTTCAAGATTTGGATGTCCTAGAGTGATTATTAGTGATGGAGAAACACATTCTACAAATAGATATTTTAAGGAACTATTAAAAAAGAATGGAGTACACCATAAAGTAGCAACTTCATATCATCCTCAAATAAATGGATAAGTTAAAGTAACAAATAAGGAAATTCAGAGAATTTTGAAAAAATAATTAGACCAAATAGGAAAGATTGACCTACAAAATTACAAGATGGATTATGGGCTTATAAAATAGCTTATAAAAATCCTATAGGTATGTCCCCATTTTGTCTCATTTTTGGAAAGCTATGTCATCTTCTTACAGAAATAGAGCATAAAGCATTCTGGGCTATAAAAATTTATGTATGGATGAAAAATAAGCTAGTGGGCATAGAATTTTTCAACTATATGAATTAGAGGAGTTGAAGAATGAAGCTTATGAAAATCATAGAATATATAAAGAAAAAACTAAAAAATTTCATGATAAATACATTAGTAGAAAAAAAAAATGATGTTGGACAAAAAGTGTGGTTATATGATTCTAGGCTGAAATTTTTCCTAGAAAAATTTAAATCAAAATGAACAGGGCCTTATGTGGTGGTAGAGACATGATCATAGGGCTATAATAATTAAAGATCCTAAAAGTGATCATAACTTTAAGATAAATTGACAGCAACTTAAACATTACATAGAACATGAATGCCTTGCAAAAAAGTAAATTATATTATTAAAATAAATTCAAGTGTAAGATTAATGTGTCCAACTTAAGACATTAACTTCAGCGCTACATATGAGGCAACCCATGGCCTTTATTTCATTTTGGTTTTTTTAAGCTTTTTTTTTTCTTAGAATTTCACAATACTTGTTTATGTTTTTTTTTTTTCGAAAAAGTGTAAGAGGATGGGTGTAAAATAAAGTAGAAAATTAAAAATGAGGTTGAGGTGATGTCTTTCTAAGCTTTATCATTATGACAATAGTTTTAGTGCTTAACTTTGCATATATGCATGCTTCACTTGGAAATTATTTTTTTACATATTTTTCTTCAATTTTTCTCTGTCATTAAGGACAATGCTATTTTTAAGTTGGGGGGTGAATTATTAATTCATAATTTATGCTATAAGACAATTCAAAATATATTTTAACATTTTTTTTCATGTTCACTTAGAACAACAACTAGAAAAAAATAATCAGAAAAACTACAACATCTATTTTCTAATTTTCTATCAAGAATAATAAATTGTCAAAAACAGCACAAAAAAAAAAGCCAAAATTTGAAATTCTAGAGACCCTTTTCTCACATTTGAATCCCCTAGTCATATATTGTTGAAATTCGAAATTATAGTTATAAAGAGGATAGTTTTGATTTATTTTTGACAAATTTATTATTACAAAAAATAGAATTGAAAATAGAAAGTAGAACTGTCAAAACTATCTATATTAAAAAAAATTAACATCATATTACATACATGAAAAGTTAAATCAATTAGATTGATTGATATCAAAAGATACTAGAAAGATTATCATTGAGTTAAAAGAATGATTTAGTAGCATGAAATATTAGAATACTCCTTGGATACATGATTGATAATATGAATTTGATTTTATAGATTTTCACTTCATAATTGACGTAACTTAGTCATTGTATAGTAAATCACATAAATTTAAAATTTATAAAACTAGAAAATATGAATTTTTAGATATTTAGAAGTATTTATGGACAAATATATCAATTATAATTCAATAAAACTTCCACAAATAGTAGTCATTTTCTAAGTCTATCACAAGGATGTAATATAATATCTAATAATTATTCAAAATTTTCCTCATAGAGTATTATTTTCTATAAATTTTATATTAGGAAATAAAAATAAAATATATTTAAAATTCACAAAAAAGGAAAATAAGGGTGTGGACATCTAGATGATGTTAGTGCCCAACGAACATGAATTGGGTGGAAATAGAGTTCTACTCGGTGATTCTTATGTAAGTGATTACAAACGATTTAATTGATTAAATTAATATTTGTAAAAACTAGAAGAATCATAATAGAATAAAGTATATCTTTGTAAATTTAAATCACTTAAATTATCAGTAAATGAAGCAAAAATTAAGTTGAAAGCAGAAAAATAGAGTTCTGATGTCACAATGGTGATGCGTTGGCGATGCATCAAAATCTTGAGTGTTTAGGAGGATTGTTGTGTAGTGTTCACAGTCTCAAAGGCTCTCCTTGGACAAGGATGATGTGGGCAATCTCTAGATCTCTTTGCAAAGTCTAGAGATCAATAAAATGGGTTGTCGAATCATCTTCGGCAGCTGTCACCCAACAGAGTGGAAAAACAACAACTTTGTGGCTCTCTGGTGGTTGTCACCTGAAAGAGAGGAGCTAGATGGAGGTGGGGCATGTGTTAGGAAACTTCATCCTCAGGTCCACGTAGCAAGAGGAGGCTCTTCATCACATCTGGTACGCTCTCACAAGGTGGTGACTTGTCTCTCGGCTGATCATTCTCTTCTTGACAACAACTTGTTCATCAATCAATCAAAGATGCTTTACTCGATAGATTTGTGATCTTTTTATCACGAATTGTTCAACAATTTTAGTAACAGTGCTTGGCGAATTGTGTTAATGAGATTTCGTCGATGATCTAGCAATTCTGATTGCTTAATCCTTCATTAGCGATCTGTAGGAAAGTTGTGATAATTAGATAAAAAATATGAGTTTTGGCTCAAACCTGCACCGATTGTCTGCCCTTTTTGGGGAAGGTGTGATGTGGGTTTATTTTTTATTACTTGTGCGCCGAAATTTCTGATGAATATATAGTAATATTACATTTCCGATTAAGTTCCTTTCTTGCATGTGTATGACCACTCCTTGTCCCACAATTGGCTGGCCACTAGTGATGTGGAAAGGGAGTGACACACACATACCCCTATCAGTCCTAGCCGCTCGAGCCCTTGCTCGCAGCTCCTCTCTAACTACACTTCTGACCCGCTTGCGGGCTCGGCTGGCCGATGGGTCCCCCCCCATTTTGCAATATTTTTATTTTTATTTATTTTTCTTTATTTATCTCAAAAGTAAAACTATAAAAATTATATAAATTTATATAAAATCACATAATTACCCAAAATTTCATATTAATCAATTGAAAACCACTTTTCATAATTTAACACAAATATAAGTCTATTTATAATGAGCTACGACTAAAAATATATTATTTAATAATTATTAACTCATGATAATGAAAACTTATCAATGATCTTGATGGATAGTATTTATTTGATGTGAAAATTTGATTGACCATTTGAGTTTAATGGAGATTTTTGCACCCTAATCTATAGGACTTGTGAGGAGAAATCACTTATTTAAAAAAAAAAAGAGAGAGCAATGTGAAAAATCTAGAAATGAAAGGTACACATGAAGGGTGTGAGACATCATTCTCATTGTTGAAAATCATGCATAGAAGAACACTTGTTGTAAAATAAGTGGATAAAGTGAAAGCCTTGAAAATGAAGAGTACACATAGAGGGTGTGAGACATCATTCTTATTGTCAAAAGTTGTCTACAAGAAAAGCTATTTATCCACTATATAAAAATATAAAAAAGAAAAAATAAAGTGTAAACTTTAAAAATTAAGTTATGGAAAAAAATAAAATGTAGGATCAATATTATTCTTAAATGAGTATTGATAATTGGAACATCTTGTAAATATATTTATGAGTGAAGAAGTGATAAAGATGTGAATAGAAGAAGTGAAGTCTAGATTATTATTCTAAGAAGTATGATAAGTCTTCATTGTCATGAGTTAATAATTAGTAAATAATATAGTTTTAGCCTTAACTCATGATAAATAGACTTATATTTGTGTTAAAAAATGATTAATTTTGGGTGATTATATGATTTTATACGATTTTTATAGTCTTACTTTTGAGATAAATGAAGAATAAGAAATAAAAATAAAAATATTGCAAAATGGGGGACCCGCCGGCTAGCCGGGCCTACAAGCGGGTCGGAAGTGCAATCGGGGAGTGGCCGCGAGCAAGGGCTCAAGCAGCTTAGCTTGGACTGATAGGGGCACGTGTGCACCACTCCCCTTCCATGTCACCGGTGGCCAGCCGGCCGTGAGTCAAGGAGTGGTCGTACACGTGAGAGAAGGACTTTGCTTACAAAGCTAACATTACTATATATTCGCCTGAAAAATTGGCGCACAACCGATGTGAGACTAAACTCGTGTCACACCTTCCTCACAAGCAGGTGACCGGCGCGGGTTCGAATCCTCCCAAAGTCAAAATTTATATATTTTTATCTGATTATTGTGACTTTCCTACAGATCGCTGATGAATGATTAAGTAACGAGAATCGCTGGTTCATCGACGAAAATCTCGTCAACATGATTCGCAGAGCATTGCTACTAAAGTTGCTAAACGATTTGCGATAAAAGGATCACAAATCCATCGAGTAAATCATCTCCGATTGATCGATGAACAAGCCGTCGTCGGGAAGAGGACGATCCACCGGGAGACGAGTCGCCACCTCTTGAGAATGTACCATATGCGATGAAGAGCCTCCTATTGCTGCGCAGACCTGAGGATGAAGCTCCTTGACACGTGCCCCACCTCCATCCAGCTCCTCTCCGTCGGGTGACAGCCGCTGTTGCCATTTTTCTATTCCGTCAAGTGACAGCTGCTGGAAATAATTTGATGACCCACTTCATTGATCTCTAGACTTTGCGAGAAGATCTAGAGATTGCCCATGTCGTCTTTGTCCAAGGAGAGCCTTCAAGGTCGTGGACACTGCACAACGATCCTCCTAAATGCTCAAGATTCCGGTGCATCGCCGACGCATCGCTGTCGGGACGCCAAAACTCTATTTTCCTACTTCAATTTACTTTACACTTCATTTAGTGATAATTTTTGTGTTTTCAATTTACCAAAATATACTTTACTCTATTACGATTCTTCTGGTTTTTACAAATCTTAATTTGATCAATTAAATCATCTATAATCGCTTACATAAGAATCGCCGAGTAGAACTCTATTTCTGCTCAATTCGCGCTTACCGGGCACTGACATCATCTTGACGTCTATGCCCTTATTTCCCTTTTTCGTGAATTTTAAATATATTTCCTTTTTATTTCCTAGTATAAAATTTATAAAAAATAGTATTTATTGAGAAAAATTCTGAATAATTACCTGATATTATATTACATCCCTATGATCAACCTAGAAAATTATTGCTATTTTTGGAATTTTTATTGAATTATAATTGATATATTTATTTAGAAATACTTCTAAATATCCAAAAAAAATTATTTTCTAGTTTTATAAATTTATCTTTGTGTGATTTAATATACAACAACTAAGTCACGTCAAAGTACTTAAACATTTAAATGCTTAACATCATTCTGAAATACTTGATATAAGAATCCAAAGTGTCTAAAGATACATCATTTCTAATTGTTTTTTTATATATATATTGAAATATGATGTTTGAGATTTGTGAATTTTTATTTTCATAATTCTATTACTAAGGAACTAGCAATGATTTAAGTTGAGGGTGTGATAAGTCTTCATTATCATGAGTTAATAATTAGTAAATAATATAGTTTTAGCCTTAACTCATGATAAATAGACTTATATTTGTGTTACATTAGAGAAAGTGGTTTTCAATTGATTAATGTGAATTTTTGGCTAATTATGTGATTCTCTATAAACTAATATATAAGGTGATGCACCTAAAAGAGCTTTGTATGCTATCCTATATGCCCAAAATGCACCATTTAATTTTTCAGACCAATCTTTTTTATTAGGAGAGACAACTCTCTCTATAAATTTTTTTTTATTTTTCTACTAACTAATGCTGCTTGACCATTTGTTTGAAAATGATATGGGGTAGTGATAAGTCTTCATCGTCATGAGTGAATAATTAATAAATAGTATAATTTTAGTCTTAACTCATGAGAAATAGATTTATATTTATGTTAAATTGTGAAAAGTGGTTAATGTGATTTTTTGGCTAGTTGTATTATGTTTTACAAATTTATATAATTTTTATAATCCTATTTTTGAGATAAATGAAGAAAAATAAAGAGAAAATAAAAAGAAGAAAAAGGGAGAAACTTGTTGGTCAGCTAGGCCTGTAAGCAGGTCAAAAGCACAATCGCGGTAGAGCCATGAGCAGGGCCTCAAGACTGATGGGGGCATGTGTGTGTCACTCCCCTTTCACCTCATTGGTGGCTAGTTGGCTATGAGGTAAGGAGTAGTCATACACATGCGAGAAAGGGACTCATTGCTTCTAAATGTGATATTACTATATATTCATCTCAAAATCCTCCATATAACCAATGTAGGACTCAATTGGCAGTCACACCTTTTCTGAAATGATTTTATGATTTTAATACCAAAAATACCTCTTATTTATAACAATGAGATATCATGATGACATCACTATATAAGGGTATTTAACAACTTATTCCCTCTCTCTCATGTAGGCAGACAACCAACATAGGTTTGAATCTTACCAAAACCAAAAGTCATATTTTTATCTAATTAAATCATGACTTTTCTCAAAATTATCAGTAAAGGATTAAGTTGCTAGAATTACTTAATCATCAACAAAAATCTCGTCAATGCAATTTGTGGGATATTATTATTAAAATTACTCAATGATTCACGAAAAAAAAATTGTGAATCTATCAACTAATCACAAATTTATCAAATAAGAATACTAAAATAGGTAAGTACTGTGGTAGGCTCAAGGTTGATTGATGTACACTTGTCATTGCATTTCAATATACATTATCTAATAATATTTATAACTAAAACTTAATAAAATATTAGTATAGAAGTAAGTCTCATGTTGAACACAAAAAGATTGATTAATCCATCATGAAAACTAATTTACTTTATATATAAAGTGATTTTAATATTTTATTAATATTTAACAAAAATAATAAAATAGAAGGGTGAGGTGAGAAGAATAAAGGAAGAGAAGTGCAAAAAAGGAAGGAGAAAAAGAGAGAGAAGAGAGAGCTCTCACGAGAGAGAGAAGGGATGAGAACTATCATGAACACATATATAAAATACTAGAGAGATGAACACATGTATAAAAGACTCGTAATGCAGAATCAAAACTATAAATCACCCTATTTCAAACTACAAATACGTAACCAATTGATTATGCGTGGAACACATTGAATTTGGATGAACTTACCTTGGGCCTCTATATGTTGCCAAGGCCAAATGGTTTCCTCTTCGAGTAGTTATTCCACCACTCTAAGCTTTGAATCCACACGAATCAACCAAAACACGTCCAAATCTAATGCAAAACCTCAATGTTGTTTCAAACTCGCCTTCTCCTCGTTTGTGATCGCCTCTGCCGGCTCGTAATCGATTCAAAACCACCCATCTTCGAGAATCTCGTCGACCTTTGCCATCTATACAATATCACGAGAAGAAAGTTATTGTCTGACGCAGGAGGAGATCCTAATTTGACGTGGTAGAAGTCAATATCAGTCCAGGATGAATATTTTATCAATTCACATGTGATTCATAATACCAGGGATTTATTCTCCGAGTTCTTTTCTTCATCTAGAAGAGTTAGAACGGAAGGCAAGCACCGCCACACAATGAGCAGCCACCTGCCGGCTTCCTTATGAGCCGCAATGAAGGATCTCCAATTAGGTTTCGTTTGTGGCTAGCGGAGTTGGTTAGGTTGCACCACCTCACCACGTCGCGGCTGGTGGTTAACTGCTTCGTTCATGAAACGCCGCAAGTGAACATCTGACCCCATTTCCTCCACATGTCAGATATTTGGGGATTTTTCTCTCTGTAGGCCGCCACGAATTCGGCAACTAGACCGTAGAAACTAGCCTACACTTGCAGCCCATCAGGAAGTGGAGATTATCGCTACGAGGGCGCGGAGGTTCTCCGACGAGCTGCCGCCGGGCTGAACCTGCTGGAGCGCCACCGCCCTCAGGGCGCATGCCCTCTCCTTCATCTTCTTCCCCTCCGCTGTCCTGAGGACGACGTGGAGAGCCTTGGCGACCTCGTCCTTGGTCATTGTCTTCTCTGGGAAGGCCACTCCGATCTTCCACGTGTGTGAGATGGACCGCGAGTTGATGTGCTGGTCGCCCAGGAAGGGACGGCACACCATGGGAACGCCGCCGACGAGGCTTTCCAGCACGGAGTTCCACCCACAGTGGGTCACGAAGACCCCGACGGCGGGATGCTCAAGGACGCGCGCCTGAGGGGTCCACGTCGCTACCAACCCCCGGTCGGCCGTCCGGGCGAGGAAACCGGCCGGCAAAAGCGGCCAGAACTTCTTTTTCAGCGACCACAGGAAGGGGGCTCCGCTGGCTTCGAGCCCCTCGGCCAGCTCCGCTAGCTCCGCTGACGGAGGGGTCATCAGGGTGCCGAAGCCGATGTATACCGCCTCGCCGTGGGCCTGACGGTCCAACCACTCCAGGCAGCCGGTGGAGTCGGGCCGCGACGGAGGGGGGCATAGGAGGTTGAGCGGTCCCAGAGGGAGACATCTTTTGAACTTGGCGTGGAAGTCGATGAGCACGGCGGGGTCGAGACCTTCGAAGGTGTTGATCGCTAGCGCCGAAGCGCGTGGCAGCTCGAGGCCCATTCTGTGGAGGAGGCGGGCGAAGACAGAGTTGAGATTGCCGGAGACGACTCCCTCCGGCAAGTCGCAGAGGCGCATGCCGGCCATCCCGGGGAGGAAGCCGAGTTCATCGTCAACCTTGGATTCCACATCAGAGGCTCCCTTCTCTCCGGCGCTGACGGTTTCGCGGAGCAAGTCAGTGTAGAGATGGACCGACAAGCTCCGGGAACCTCCGGTCCACAGCCCCACCCACGGGACCGCCGCCCCGAGCTCCGCCGCCAGGTCCCCGGCAAACCAGAGGAAGCAGTCGCTTATCACGCAGCTTATCGTCGCCCCGCCAGTACGACGGACCGCGTCCTCCATCCCCTTTCGGAAGTTTCCGGGGGTGACACGCATGAAGTTATCGATTTCCTCTTCTGGGCTCCTGGGATCGAAGGCGAAGTCTGCCGGAGCCCCGTCGTCCACGTCGTAGAACTTCAGGTTTGGTGGCGCAGAGTCGACGGCGGCGAGGGTGGCGTTGGACTTGGCGGAGTTGACGAAGGAGAAGGCGACGTGAGGGGCCGCGGAGGCGAGTCCGCAGGCGAGATTGTGGAGGGGCGCGGCGTGGGTTCCGAAGGGGAAGGCGAGCACGGCCACGTGCGGCTGCTGCCCCTTTACTCTGTTGTGAGCCGCCATGAAGGACCGCGAGCGAGGTTCCCTACTCTGGCTGTCGGAGTTGGGTTGATCGGGAAGGAGTGACTCCCGGAGGACCTTTTATTGGGTTGCACACTTCACCACGTGCCAGCGACCGGCTGTTGGTTCAATTTATGGTTGCTGAACTGCCGAGCATCAAACCCCCACTCAGCCAAGTTTGATATTTGGGGAACCGACGTCACTGGCTGTCCTGACATATTAATGAAAAGAAAACAAAAATGATATAAAGAAGTTATGTGACAGAGCGTCGTGGTTATCCTGAATCACCCCGTTAGTCAAGAACATGCACGCAGGAAAGGAATATACTGAGTCTAAAATATTATCATCCATACCAAGTGCAATCGTGTCTAATCAATAAAACGAACTCAGTTTGTCAAATAAAAAGGAAATTTAAGAAACTATTATTACATGGATTAAGATAAATTATTGGCTTGGCAGTGCCATGCCAAAGTTGTGATCGTGTCATTCCAAATCACCTTTCAGATCTTTTTTGAAGTGTTGTTAATGACCTTAAAAGTTTTATTAACTATGGTATATTGAGAAATTTGACATTTTAAGTTATTATTTTGAGGATAATATCCTACGAATGAAACCAAAGTTCAAGAATAATCATTTCTAAGCCACAAATTGGACTAGAAATGATCAAGTGGTGTTCATGAATGAATTCACTCAACATTTAGATCTGAAATTTATCTTGTGGGAAATTATTTTTGGGCATAGTGTATTTTTGGTCATGATAATCAGGTAACATGTTATAAAGAAGAGATTGGCCAAACGGGAGGGGGAATGTGACTGTCTAAGTTGCCCTAGCTCATTGGCCACTAGAGGAGCTCCTACTAGTTGAGAGAGAGAGAGAGAGAGAGAGGAAAGGATGAAATGAAAAATTATACTAAAATATGAAAAGGAATACAAGTTTTTATAGGGGTCCTAATGAAGTGGATCAGATTTAATTAATGGCTTCACTTTAGCCAAACTAGATTTGATACATAATGGAAGAGATAAGGATGAAAATATAATACAATAAGAGATATAAATTGATGTGCACTAGTCATTGTGTTTAAATGCACATTATTTAATAATATTTATAACTAAGACAATAAAATATTAGTATAGAAGTAAGTCAAGTCAAACATAGGGAGATTGATTCATTTATCATGAAAACTAAATTAATTTATAAATAGAGTGATTTTAATATTTTATAACTATTTAACAGAAATAAGAAAATAAAAGAGTGAGGTGAAAAGAATAAAAGAAGGAGAGTAGAGAAAGGAAGGAGAAAAAGAAAGAGAGAAGAGAGCTTTCACAAAAGAGAGAGAAGAGATCTCTTGTAAAAGAGAGAGAAAGGAAGAAAAGGAAAGAAATCTCATGTTAGATGGAGAGAGAAACATCTCACGAGAGATAAGGGGAGAGAAGCAGATCGATTGATAGAGAGAAAGAGAGGGACATCGATTGAGAGAGAGAGAGAGAGAGAAATAAGACAATAATTAAGAAGGAGAAACACAGTCAAACTATTTTCAAGGTGACCATGATTCTCAAACAAATGTGTACTCGAGAATTCACACACATGATATGAGGTCAGCCATGAATGTTTCCATCTTATTTTAACAATTCAATGCTCAAAAATCAGCCTTTAATCTCACTAATTTCACATTTGAAAATATAAAGATATTCATTATTCTCAAAGTGTCAGGGATGCAAATACATCAAGATTTAACTATAGAAATCAATGAAAAATAAGTTAGACATGATTTTAGCTTGATCTCAGACAAGTTTTAGAGGATTTAGAAGAAGAATGAAGATTATTCATCGAGTTTTTGCTAAGTTATATTCATTTTTATTAGAATATGTACAAAATAGAAATAACTTATTATAAAATATAAATAAAATTTAAAATTATGTAAATAAATGAAAAAAGTAGAAAAAAAATCATTGTCCAAGTTTAGTCTACCTTGTGGATAGTTAGAGACACTGGTGTGGTGGCCTAGTTTCATCCGGATGTGTCACACCATACTAAAAGTCACAAAAGTATTATTCAAAAGTGTTGTGCCACTTGCCGAAGAGATCTACTAAAAAGAGAAGTCAATCATGTTGCCACTATCATCTGGGGGAGAAGGGAAGAGCTGACCACTTGTTAGAGGCCTTGAGTACAATTAGGGGAGGAAAGAACGAGCTCACCGATTGTCAAAGTCATTGATCGCACGAAAGGAGGGAAGAAATAGATTGTCATATTCACAACTACCATCAAGATTTTAAAGATAATTGATAATATCTATTTTACTAGATAATAATCAATTATTATCTTTAAATCCTTGATGGTGATATGTGCAAGAACTTAAGTTCTTAGTATTGTGACACTTTGCAAGCTATTGGATCAGATGTGCTTAGTCACGTGGCATGTTGAGCGACATTGTATTAACTAGGCACAAACTATTGCTGATTGGGAACTTGGGTCTGGTACTGTGACATCTTATTAGCCATTGGATCATCATTTATGGCCATGTATGTGCTGAGCAGCATCGGATTTGCAAACTATAGAGGTTTGCTTTATGCATCTAGTATTGTGGTGGCTCACCAACTACAAGATTTGGCTTATCTGATGATGTGGCTTGCTGAACATCATTGGATGACACTACACTTTAGACGACTACCCTAAAACACACGAAAAACTTTAGTCCCACACCAAAAATATTTAGGTGATTGAGTTGAATGTAAATCAAAGTTATGGTCTCTTAAGGGAGATCCCTTCTCCCAAAATAAAATAATGCTTAGGACCATCTTGCAAGAAGGTAAAAAGATGATCTACTATTGCATGCACACATGTGTACGATGCTCCTTGTTCCATGACCAGTTGGCCACTAGGACATGATAGGGGAGTGATGCACATGTGTGCAAAGCAAGTCCTTTGCCACTCAAGCTCAGCTTGTGGCTCCCTAATAACATGTTAATTATGACATGAAAGGTGTAAGAATTATTTTATTGAAGAGCTTAAATCTTACAATATAGTATGTTATTATATTAAAAAATAAATATTTATTATTTCTTTGAGTATTCCATGATGTTTAATATTTTAGAGTTTTTTTTGGAAATTTTCTCTTAGTTTTACAGTCATAATTGATTTTTTATTAATATGACAGAATTTTAGAAATTTTTGATATCTTTTTATGGGTTTTAGCAAGTCAATATATGCTTTGATGGATGAGATCTGATTTGTGAAGATGAGGCGATAGAATCAAGGGCTGAGGCACTAACACCCAGCATCATCAAATAAGGAGATCGAAAGTCGTTGAGAATGTCTACGCAATCAACAATAGATGGAACATATTTATTGAGGGTGCACTGGATCTCAACATTAAGGAAGATCCTATGGCTACAACAAAACCTTCAAGTCTAATTCTGTAGATCAAGTTGAGAAGAAATCAACTCTCACTTGATCTTATTGTGGCCAAAAAGATAAAAATACCTTCATTTAATCACAACCTTAGATC